CTATAAATAATATATTAATTACTTTAGATTATTTTATTATCTTATAGAATATATAGCTTAAAGTATTAAAGTTAGTATATAAGTAGTTAATCTAGTAGGCTATATATATAAAGACTATATAGTATATTATAGATATAAAAGATAGTACTTTTATAAAGGATTAACTTTTTATAAAAATTAAAACTTAAGAGGAAAAAGAACTTAAGGAACTAATAAAGAAGTATATTAAGATTTAGAAGTAAGAGATAGTAAAATTAAAAGCTAAAGAAGCTATTTTATAAGTATTATAATCTTATCCTTATAATTATACTATAGCTAAGACCTAAATAGAAGTAGAAACTAGGGCTTATAAATATATAGTTTTTATAAACTTATAAGCTTAAAAACTATATTTTACCCTCTAAGTAACTTAGGAATAAGTAAATAACTCTTAAAGGAAGCTATTATTATATATATTATCTCTTAAAGCTTTAGAATTATTCCCTAGCTATTTAGACTAGAAAACTATTTAAAAGGCTTAAAGAGAAATTAAAACTACTATTAAAACTCTCTCTTAACTAGCTAGATACTTTTTTAGCTCTTCTAATACTAGTTATATAACTATTATAATAAATAACTCTATTAGATTATCTAGTAGTAATAATAGTATTAATATTATTATATATTACCTATCTAGTTTAAACTAGATAAAAGATATATTAATCCCTTTAGAAAGATCTATAGATTTATATAGAAAAGAAGTTATATTTATATCTTAAGTATAATTAGAGGAATTATATTATTTACCTATAAACTATTTATTATCCCCTAATCTAGAGATTATAATAGGGGGTATACTAATTATAATTCTAAAGTTATAAGCCTATAAATTATAAATTAATTATTATACTACTAATTTTATTCTAAAAATTATAAAATTAAATATATAAATTAATTAGCTATTAATAAATAATATCTTAAATTATTATATAAAAAGCTTTTAAATTAATAGATTTATATAGTATTAAAGATATAAGAGTTAGATATAAATATATTAAAGATACAGTCTGTATTACCCCCTCTTTAGAGGGGGGCTAATTTGCCTTGCTTATATACCCGCCGGATACCTAAGGTATATAGGTAAGGTAGTAGGTAGGTAGGCAAGTAGGTATCCTTGGTATCTCAGTCTAGAAATTTACCTAGCTCTTCCAATTTCCAAGATCATAATATTCTTTAGCTTAGCTCAACCAAGTACCTAGATTACCGTAGACTTCCGTGCGGTAATTATCCCATGTAATCTATTTCTGGAAAGCTTCGTCTCTGACCATCAACATTTGCCGATATCGGCTCATACCTATCCCGAGTACCTAGATATTGCCCTCTAAAATATAAACCGAGACATGCTGAGTGCTCTTTCGTCATGATACCCGACTTGATCATCTCACATGTTACACACTCATGCCTCCTTGCAAGATATTTGGAAAGTCTTGCATCAGGGTGTTGCCTTTGACTTCAATCTTCTACGAATCAGTCAGAATGTCGTCGTCCTATCGAGTGATTCAACATACCATTGATTGCTGCCACACTAGAGATTACATCGCAGCGACTGCCAATGGTGACGCCGATGCCCCGAAACTATCGGTGAAGCAATATATTCCACTTAATAATCCTACACCCGAGCCAGGAGATATTACCATCATCGGCGCGCATGCAAATGGGTTTCCAAAGGTACACGGCACATGTTTGATACTGGACATTGCACTGTCTGACAGAGCTACAGGAGCTATATGAGCCTCTATGGGAAGAGATTTATCAACGATCAGCTCAAGCGCGCCTCCAGATTCGGTCGATTTGGATTGCAGATATGTGGAATCAAGGCCAGTCCGGTGTCATCAATGAGAAGATACTTGGGAATGATCGTAAGTGGGCTTCTCTAAATACGCTACCAGTATTGATAAGACCAGTATTGACAAGTATCAGCGAGCTGGTCCGATCACTCGAGGGATCTGATGCACTTAATCAACCAGAACCAGGCTTCCATGCCTCATCCAATAGTAGGAATTGGCCATAGTATGGGTGGTACTCAACTGTTAGACGCTGCTTGACTTTCAAACTTGCCTCCCCTACCCCTACTGACTGGGTGCACAGTTCTTTGTTAGCTTTGAACCACCCACGCCTACTCCGGTCGCTCGTTCTGCTCGACCCAGTCATCCAAGAGCGCAACGGAAGCATCTCTCCAGCAAAAGCATCTACGCCCCGTCGAGACATCTGGCCATCCCGGCAGACTGCAGCAGCAAGATTTAAGGGTGGAAAGTTCTTTCAGACTTGGGATCCACGGGTATTGGACCGTTGGATTGAGTACGGCCTCCGTCAAGTTCCGACGGAACTTTACCCACGTGGTCATTTTGACAATGACGACGCCGTGACGTTAACAACCTCGAAACACCAGGAACTTTTCACATTCCTCAGGCCTACGTACCGGCAAAGCCCCAGCGAGAAGTATGTTGACAAAGATCCTGTTTCAGATACGGAGTACCCTGGATATCCATTTTACCGGCCCGAACCTCTCCAGGTCTTCCGTCGCCTGCCAGAAATGCGCCCTAGTGTCCTCTATATCTTTGGGGGTAGTTCGGAGCTTTCACATCCACAGCAGCGTGAAAAGAAGATGGCACAGACAGGTGTAGGTGTTGGTGGTAGTGGTGGCGCTGTTGCCGGTCGTGTGAAGGAGGTAATTCTTGACTGTGGCCACCTTGTAGCCATGGAGAAGGTTTTGGAGTGTGCAGATGCAATCACCTCTTTTCTAGCGAGCGAGCTCGAGTTATGGAGAAAGGAGAATCGGGAATTTGAGACATATTGGAACAAGAAGAGCAGGCGGGAGCAGATCATGATGGACAAGGCCTGGGCTGATAACATTGATCCGAGTGTGAAGCCTTCGGGCCGTAACAAACTCTGATATAACATGCTTTCATGAGCGATCATTCCTTTAGTGTGTCAATGAGAGTCACGTTTTAATGATGTTGGCTTTGACTCCAGTATTTAGCTTAAGGGCACAGTCCCCGTACATGCGGGATAGTTATTAACCAGATGTTTGTGGAGATGAACTGGGTATTATCCGCCTTTTACAGACTGAGGTACTTGAAATTAGCTGTTCACATCGGTGCACAGATAGCAATTGGATTATATATTATCTTTCTTATCATGATGCTCCAGAGACGCATTCAGTAGCATCCAAAAAGGGGGTGAGGTTACGCTTAGTGGGCTGTATGGAATTGCGGCTAGATTGCTTCATACAAGTGAGGTTTTGGTGCATCAAAATCTTTTTGCCACTAATGACCCATCACGGACTCACGGTATGAGGCCCTGATTCAGGAGCCCGGAAGTTAAAATTTCCCCAGGAAATCACTGCATAACACAGAAGCTATATCTTTAACAGTCGGGTTCTTTAGTGTAGAATTGTATATCTCTTCCTGACCTATAGCCCTGGGAGGGATAGGTGCTAAGCTTCTTAGCATATTCTGTACTTCTGATTTTCTTACTCGAAGGAGTTGGGAAATGTCCCAATTTTCCCAATTTTCCCAAAAAAAAACATCCTTTTCCTTCCTTTCGCAAGTCATCAGGTTCCCTTGGGGAAGTGGGCTAGAACGTTTCCTGCCTCTTGAGTCAGGACCCTCTCTGTGAATGACAAGCTAAAGCACCAGCGGATCTTTTGCTTTGTTTGCCGACCCATAACGCGCCTCACGCCCTACGCCCTACGCCCTACGCCCTACGCCCTAGCTCTACAGCAGGCAGTCAGTTAGAGTGTATCAATGGGGGGATACGAGGACAGGTGTATGTGTATACGTTCGTGTGTTTGAGAGAGACAGTAGGCTTGTTTTGACTGGCCTAGCTATCTATCTCCCTGTCTCCCTTCCTTCTCCTCTTCTCCCCAGTTATAGATGAGTCTCCTTAGTAGCTCTCTTTCAAGCTGATTCATCAGCCTCATAATTAGGTACCTAGAGATGGTAGTAATAATTATTACTTTATAATTGATTATATAATGAAGACAGGCTGTAGCTAAATACCCGAGCTGCCTTATGAATTATCTGTTAATCACAATAGTCCATAGCTATGGGCCTGATCTGTATATCCAAGCTGCCTTATAAGACTGGAGAATGTGGCCTAATGGCTCGTGCTGGTGTCGATAGAGTACAGGCCGAGGATTTCTAGATGAACGGTGATATCTTTTGAGGTGATTCTCGCTAGCGAACACAGGAGATCAAAAAAAATATTTTCTAGTTGCGATATTCCCCTCCACAATCTCCCATAGCCTCAAACATCTCCATCCTTTTGCTCTGTGATAACACTTTCTCAATTTCGTTCTGGTCTTCTTGATCAAGCGACCATCCGAAACTTGCCAGGTTAGAATCAGTATGCTCGCTGATGCCCATGCGCGCACCGACAATGACAGCCCCAACATATGGAAAGTCCAAGACCCATCGTGTTGCCACATTCGAAATCCCGACATTGTGCTTGACTGCAATACTCTTGAGTGTTTTCAGCAGGTCCTGGAAGAGTTCCCAGCCGCCCCAGGTCCGGATCGCGCCGTAATACTTGGCGTGAGACTGTCAGAAGTGTACGATATCGGAAACTTTTACAAGGAAGACTGTACCTTTCGTTGACTAGGAGTAATGAGGGGGTTGTAAAGGTCGGGTTCTGGCTTGTCCAGCCACTTCTCAGCGAGAAAACCTCCACACTAAGCTTGCATCAGAAATAAGTACGGATAATCGAAAGGTGAGGCCTTACTAGTGTGCCATAGGTCAGTAGTTTTATGTTATGCTCCAAGCACACCGCTCCCATTTCCACCGTTGGTCGAGAATCAATAAGTGAGAACTTAAATCTACAGTGTCAGTGCTTTACTCGAATAGTCGTGACTGGAAGGCCTTTGGATCATGGCATTACCTGAACCTGGTTAGCGACCACCTCAATACCGTGGTTTACAACGGTCTGGAGATGCTTCGTGTCGAAGTTGCAAAGCCCGATCATCCTGACGCGGTCGTCCTCTGCTAGGAACCGCAAGGCATCGAGATACTGTGGATTTTGGTACTAATCTATCGTCAGTGTATCTACCGGATAGTGCGGTCATCAATATCTTACATATTGCCAGTGGAACTGGAGAAGGTCTACCGAGTTCTGCTGTAGTCTCTTGCACCTCTCCGCAACCGCAGCTTGAATGTCTTCGCGTGTCACAGATGTCATGGCATGGAAGACGCAATACTTGGTGGCTGTGAAAATAGCATCTTTATGTGGCCAGGCGGACCAGAAGTGACCCTTGTACAAGCAGTCAGTCAAGCCTCAGGAAGGAAAGAGCTTATTAAACTCACGAATATGACTTCGGCGTCGCCATAATGGTCTGCCATATCAAAGGCAGTAAACCCACTCTGCACGTGCCTGGATATCTGATCCACAATCTTTGATGTCGGAGCAGTTCCCCAGGCAGGACTTGACATTTGCCAGAGGCCCGAGAAAATTCTAGGAATCGTCCGACGGCCCAGAAGAAAAGTCTCTTTGGCTCTAGGGGGTGCTTGAACTAGGTCCATGCAGTTTAGAAGTATCTCCTGAGATTCAGCGCCAGGTAATTCAGGACCACCAAGCAGCCCTGAAGTTGCACGCGCGCCTCGGAAAAAGGGATGACTTGTTCCCCTTTTCTTCGCGGCATTTGAGCACTCCATCAGGCCTTGTTCGAAACATTGTAGGAACGCTCTTTCGTCATCGGCCAAGGCCCGAGTGCCTGTTGCAATACACAAGCTTTTCTGCACAGCAGTCATTGCCTGAACGATATCATGGTCAACCAAGGCGTAAAAGTCTAGAATCTCATCCTCATCGGCATCTGGTGGCTGCCGCTGTCCTTCTGTTGCGTGAGAAACAATCTTGCTTAACAGAGGAAGACTTTGGAAGCAAAGCCCTGACCCCAGCATGCAGCGAACAAGTCCCTGGACGGCCCGGAGGCTTTTGAGATCGGTCAGTGGGCGATTCGGCTTCAATTGTGCAGCCGCGCTTTGTTCTGCAAACTTTTTAGTCTCTCGCTCCAAGGTGCTCGTGGCTTCGGGGTGAGAGGCGAGAATGCTCCGTAGCACAACACGCAGGCCATCGGGAGGAAGGTTGGCTATTATTGTATCCGTCATCATGTTGACGTGCGATGCAGTTGTCCTGCCATTTCGAGAAACGGCCATTTTCAGAATGTAGAAGTAGAAGTGTAAGTAATTTAAGTATAAGTAATTTTGATACTCGATATGTTGTTTTCAGTGTATATGAGAGCTGTTCTTAGCTCTTAACCCTGAGTCTGGATGATGACCGCATGCTTTTGAAGCGGCCACATGACGTTGCCTAACTTACTATATGTTCTCACATGGAGATCCTAAGGTAACCGGTGACCTAAGTGAAGACCGGTGTCTTAAGAGAGAGCATAAGACGCCGGTCTCCACTCTTCACAACCCTCTATCTCAAGCGCAGCATGCTTGGTGGTCTAGATCATGCACTAACACGCGTGAGGGGACTCTGTCCTTGCCTCGACCTTCCCTCTTCCAGCTAGGAATGGTCCCTGTCCTTATCTCCTTGACCCCGCAACCCCAGACTCCCCCTAGACTTGCTTATCTGACCCTTGGACCAGGTGAATCGACTATGACGACGGTGCCCCAACCACCCGAAGGTTTAAATGTGGCTGCATCTCAAGTTCTATCCTCTTTACTGTCGACCCCCTGTAATACTCCTATTCAACTGCGAACGAGTTCATGATGAATGCCTGTCTTGCGTGCCGCAAGGTCAAGATGAAGTGTCGCGCCGGCCTAGCCGGAGGTGATTCAAGATGCGAGAGGTGTGCCAAAAAGTCGATTGACTGCGTGTTCCAAGAGCACCGGCGCGGTCGCAAGCCAGGCACCAGGTATGCGATGCTCCCGGGCATCAAGGCCCCATTACCACTGACGTCTTGCGTTACAGGATAACTCGAGCACGGCACGCATCGCCCACGAGGGCCTCGCAACCAGCATCTCAATATGGGGCTCTAACCGGCTCCTCCTACCATACATCTCTTACTCCAGTTAGCCAAATTAACGAAGATGTCTCCTCTACCGAGCCAAGTGACTTGCAACCCTCGGGGCTGCTGAATCTCGAAGCCGGAAAGTTTTCACTTCAATATATCCTTGGTAGTGGTAATGGAGACAATGTGAATTCTTCGCCCGGGCCGGGCTCCTTGTCCAACGATGACCCCATTCATGTTGGCCTGATTAACTTACAATTGGCTGGCTGTCTTTTCCAGAGGTATGATACTTCGCTAAACACGATAGCCTAACTACCGTACCGACTAACATTGGCAACCAGTTTCATGGATGTGTTGAACCCCTACATATGCCAACTTGATCCGGATTTGCATACCATAAGCTATGTCCGAGAGAAGTCACCCTTCTTGTTTACTGCTATTCTCGCAATGGCGGCCAAGGCTTTCGATACAACCATGTACCGCCCGTTATACGATCACGCCAATCAGTTAATGGGCGTCAGTTTTTGCCAGGGAGTTAAGTCCACGGAATGCGCCCAGGCCATAATGATCTTGACATACTGGAAAGAACCGCAGGATACGCGGGCATGGACGTTGTTGGGCTACGTGATCCGCATGTGTATGGACCTGGGCTGGCACAAGCTGAAACCCCCATTGATGCAATATCAGCAAGCTATGAGCGAAGAACAAAGAAGAGAGGCTCGAAATATCGAGCGGACGTGGTATGTGCTGTTCGTGTATGACAGAAGGTTTGTGCTCATTCCCAACCAAAACTTGCATCAACACACTATGGCTGACTGTTACATAGTATAAGTCTGCAGACGGGGAGGCCTTTTATGATTGAGCAGAATGAGTTTATCGACGTAATTGAAGAATGGTGCAAAGACCCAATGTCTCTCGCAAACGACTATTTCCTGGGTGCTCTTGTGAAGCTACGACTGGAAACCTCGGCAGCATTTAGTCTGCTCGGGTTCCGGCAGCGGAGAACTTATACGGCAAGCCTCCACGAGACAGAGTCATTGCTAGCTTTGATTCATGGGCGTATCCAGGACTGGGAAAACCGCTGGATTGACCTAACAAAGGCGGTGGAGCCAGCCGACGACATCAGCTGCCACCATTTTCTTATCCTTTTCTATGGGACACATCTCCGGTTGCAGCTATTCTTACTACCACTTCAAAATGCACTCGCGTCAGACGAGGCGGAATCATATTCGGGCCTGGAGGTGCTGTGGATTGCATATTCCAGTGCCATTGACCTGCTTCAAGTGGTGTCTCAACGTTCCTCCCAGCTATATATTGCTCAAGATTCTGTTCACATTATGATTGCCTATGCCGCCGCGTTTCTCGTAAAGGTTAGTCTATCGTTCAAGGTGACGGACATGCGCTGACTAGAATCCAAAGCTGCTTCTATTAGCGCCAAAAACGATGGTTGCCAAAATAGAGCCCAGCATTATCGATGTCATGCGTAACGCAGCACTTGCGCTTTCTCAACAGTCTCCCCCAAGTGGATCAAGCTGTGCGCTTCAAGCGGCTTTTCTTGATAAGATCACGTCGAACCTGACCGTGAAATCGAGGAGTGATACTCGCCCTATAAGTTCCAGATTGACCCCTTTGCCAACAGAAGCAGATGATGTCACCAGTAAAGATTCAGGTTTATTCAGTATTGAGGGCACAGATAATATCTTTGAAGCCACCAATATGGACCTCCAGCTCACTGACGACGAGGGATGGGCTAGCATCTTTGCTCAATCTGGGTTTGATTTGGAGGATGGCGTTTTTCTAAATTGAAATACTTGGGAGTACAAATACCCATAGGTAAATTGGAAGACTTTACAAACGTAATAGACCTAGAGAGTCGACCTTGTACATAATTGTGGCTGTCTCCGAATTCCCTTCCCGACTTGAGCCTTTGTATTTGTTATTTATGTGTTGAGAGGAACCACGGTGGTTTCTGCATGGGAGAATTCTCGTATCCCTTGCCGCACTATCTTCAACTGAGAGGGGCAATTGGGATCAGGGCAGGCGATCAACGCGTCGGTCGTCATCCAGTCATTGTCGGCCGTCTTGCGCTGCTTTGCAGCAAGCAACGGTAGCACGGATGCTGCACGGGATTAGTTCCCAGTATTGGACTAACTCAATGGCATATTACGCACCTAAGCTGTAGATACTAATTCCTTGGCCTGGAGGTAAAAATAGCATTTCGCCTTGAAGAGTGAAGTGATCTCCTTCATTTGCGCCGCATAGGATTCTTTTCCCAGGGGGGCAAACAACTTCGACCTTCAGGTCGTAAAGGGCGAACGAATCATCGTTTCTGGACTTCGACGACATGTTAACAGCGCAGCGTACGGGTATGCAGTATTCGGCTTTGCAACTTGAAGAACGCTTAGTTCAGCACTGTGGCACAGTCTACAGAGCAGATGTTAAATAACCCCAGAAGGATAGAAGCGTTCCCACTTCTGATAAGTTCACCGGCATTTAGCTTGCTTAACTAGCGGTTAGCGTTTCCCGATGCCGGCGTTCAAAGGTTGCGGCGTGTAAAGTCTTGAGTGCACCCACCGGCGTCTCAAGGTTTCTTATCGCCGGCGTCCAAGCCTTTTGGGCAGCGGCCTCCAAGGCTTCCTGACTGACGTTGCATCAGAGCCAACGCACACATCCTCATAACTCTTAGGGGATGGGGAAAACTGCGGAGAAGCCCCTGAAGGAGTCCAGGTCCCAGTGCCAGTGATTCGCGATTATATATACGACTTGGTGTGCGCCTGTTTCGAGGACCGACCCCTAAGATTGTAACCTCGTGCTTACTCTCTTTACCCTACGCCCTCCGCCTTTCTATTCCTTCAAAATGGCTCAACAACCGCACGACGACACGGAGAAAGATGCCGTGGGATATGCAGAGCCACTGGACGCCGAGCATCAGGACAAGATGGAGGGGGAGTCTGCTCCGACTCAGGGACTAAAGCGGGATCTCCATGCCCGTCACATTAACATGATCGCCCTCGCGGGCATGATTGTAAGTCATCAAAGATGTCAATCACTCAGAGTTAGAGGAAACCAACTAACCCTTACCTAGGGAACGGGTCTCTTTCTCGGCTCTGGCAAAGTCATCGCAACCGCTGGGCCTGCCGGCGCCCTGCTGGCCTATACCCTCATGGGTTGTGTCACCGCCGGCGTTGCATATACGACTGGCGAAATTACAGCGTTTTTGCCTCACACCGGAGGTTTCGTCCGACACGCGACCAAAGTTGTCGAGCCAGCTCTCGGGGCGGCTACCGGCTGGAATTTTTGTTTGTTCCGCATTAAAAGTTCTCTGAAATGGCTCAATAGCTGACTGCGAAAGGGTATACCATGTCCATTTCGGTTCCGGCTGAGATTAGTGCTGCTGCCACCGTAATCCAGTTCTGGAGAACGGACATCAATCCGGGTGTCTGGATCACGATTTTCCTTGTCGTTATCATTACCCTGAACCTGTGTGGCGTGAGGTTGTATGGCGAGGTGCGTCAGATATTCACACGTCCTGCTAACAGTCTTTGCAATTTCCTAGCTGACCACTTTCGTGTAGTCTGAAGTTGTGTTTGCATCATTGAAGATCATGCTGATCATCGGCCTCATCATCGGTGGAATCGTCATTAACGCCGGTGGAGGTCCAAGCAAGGAATATTTGGGTTTCCGATACTGGAAAGATCCCGGAGCATTCAACACTTTCATCGAGACTGGAGCAACCGGCGGTTTCCTCGCATTTTGGAAGGTGATGCTCCCAGCTGCCTTCAGTTACGGCAATATCCAAGTGGTGGCCATTTCTGGTTCCGAGACTCATAACCCCAGGAAGACGGTGCCAGCAGCTACTAAGAAGACATTCTATCGAGTTCTGTTATTCTACATTCTCAGCATTTTCATCGTGGGCATCATTGTGTAAGTGATCATTCTTGCACTACAGGTACTACTCAACTCTCTAACCATTTTTTGACCAGACCATACAATGATCCATCCTTGGCTCTCTCGACAGGCACTGCCCAGCAATCCCCTTTTGTGATCGCGTTTAGCCGTGCCGGTGTTTCTGTTGTTCCTTCAATTGTCAACGCGGTTGTTTGCACCTCGGCTATCAGTAGTGCTTCGGCATGCATCTTCATCGCCTCTAGGACGATGTATGGATTAAGTGTTGATGGCCATGCCCCTAAAATCCTGCAACGCTGCAACCGCTTCGGTAGCCCGCATTACGCTATCGGGCTGACCTGCGTCCTCTTTCCACTTGTCTACCTCAACGTCGCCAATAACACTTCAGTTGTGTTCGGCTGGTTCGTCAACATCACGACAGTCGCTGGTCTCATTGGATGGGTCGTGATCGAGGTTACCTACTTGAGGTTCTATGCTGGGCTTAAAGCACAAGGGTACTCCCGGAATGGTAAGCACAAATACAATTTTTTAATCTCGAGCCTAGGAAGACTGACTTGACCGACAATTTAGACATTCCATATAGGAGTCCTTTCCAGCCCTACACGGCTTGGGCCACGTTGATTCTCGTGCTATGTGTCATTATATTTTCCGGTGAGCGGTTGAAAGAATTACCCATAAGGTGACGAGATCTAACGGTACTAGGATTCGATGTGTTTGTTAAGGGTCACTTCACAATCGATGGGTTTCTCACTTGCTATTTAAATATTGCCATCTTCACTGGTATGTGGTTAATGATATGTTGGTATATGGCGCCCTCGCTAATCATATACTTAGTGCTCTATCTTTTCTTCAAGTTCTTTCTCAAGTCAAAGGTGGTGCCGCTTCAGGAGATCGACTTTGAGAGCGAGTTCCAGGCAATGAGCCAGGAAGCCGAGCGGTTAAAGGCCGAACATTTCGAGGAAAAGAAGAAACCCATTTGGCGCCGTGTCCTCAATAGCTTCTGAGTAATGTATTGTTGAGATTCGGTAGTGCAAGCTTCTAGTCTTCCTTTGAATCTGCGAAGTCTAAGATCTCTGAATTTCGAATTTCAGAATAGGACTATTAAGTAGCTACCGCGGGATACGTATACCTCCCCCTTGCTCTAACGTTCCGGAGACATCCCTAGGCTGTTGCCGCATTAGAGTGAAATGGATTGTTTCAGAGACATTATTTCCAGAATGCATTCTTGGTGATAAGGCTGCAATTTAACATCAGAGGAAGTTCTACATAGAATCTATTAATAAGAACTCGGCATTTGGCAGGGCTTCGACAACACTTTCAATAGAAAGTGTTTGGTAGGTAGATGCTCCTAATTGTCGTCATTGAGCTCAAACATCCACCACCCTGTTACGGGCTGAAGCGAATCAAGCCCTGCTTCTTGCTCGTTCCCGCGTCGCATATTTGACTGATCCAATTTTTGGCCGCTGCTGGTAACGGATATACCAACGGACCCAGCAACCATTTTTGTTTTATAGATGCGTCCATTATCGTCCACCTTTACAGGGACGGAAGCATATCCAGGAGGGATGTCCTTCGTGTCCATCGGCAGGAACTTTGTTCCATCAATATCACAGACCATGTGGCCTCCAGGGATCCTCGTGCTTCTAATCGGGGTGCCATCAAAACCCCAGGCGCAGAATGCCGTGATCCACCCAGAGAGCCACGAAATTCCTGAGCCGCCATCCATCCAGTGAGCAATCTTGCCGAAAAACTCCTTGACGGAAGGATCGGTTGGCTTGTCAAAGGCGATGATCAGGTTATTCACAACGGTAATCAAACGTTCGGCGAACATGGTTGGTTCAGCGCTAAATTGTTTGATCTTGTCAAGGCGGTTGCGGATCTTGACCCAATCTTCCCTTTGGCCGAGGAGTGTGACAGATGGGATACCACACCTAAGAGACATGGTGTAATTGAAATATGATTGCATACTACCCATCATTAGGATTGCAGCCGTGACTGTGTCCACAGTCTCGGTTGTCGTGAAGTCGGGTGAATCCAGGATTTCAACTCCGGGTCGACGATCTGCTTTTCCATCTCATCCGTCATCATCACGGCCAGTTCTCCAAAGTCGACTGTATGAATGGTACCGGCGACTTCTACCTCGACCTCCTGTTTGCCCTCGTGCTGCACAAAATGGGACCTCAGCTCTTCAGCGTGCGCGTTGATGTAGAAATTTAATTGAGGGAGAATGGCAAACCAGACATCCTCAGGGCGGATGGTTAGGTTATGGTGTTTGCGATAGGCAGAGTGGGCGGCGTAGACGAGACCATTGTGGGATGGCCAGATGTTGGATGATACAACCGTCTCGAAGGAGCTTTGGAAAATGGTCTTGCAGAGCTCATGCTCACTCGGACAAGATGACTCTAGAAGCATCTTTGCTGATGTGGCCTTGCCGAATGGTCTAAACCACGGCCTTGGCGCGTGATCAGTTACCTGGATGGTAACGGGCATGGCCGTATTTGGTCAAAGGATAAACTTATGAGGAAGTTCAAAGACGATATTGCAAAGACAAATCGAGTAGGGAGATGTTCGAAAGCCTCGAGCTTAGTATGTTGAAGTGTTTTGATTGAAGACGAGTGTGAAGCCAGGTGAAAGAGGGTAGCTTTAAAAAGTCATTCGGTGAGCGGTTGGTCTTGACGGGAAGTAAGTCATAGGCATGAAGGTTTACAGACTTTCCCTTCTGTATGACTGCAGTCTTGGGCTAGCAAAGGCTGCTTTTTAAACTTTCAAATTCGTTGTGTTGGAATTTAGGGTCCGGCATCCTCAATATTTGTTAGCTTTATACTTAAACTCTCTCTCTCATCCAGAGTGCGGAGAAAGGAAATCTGCACTGTATTATATATCCGGCGCTGCTTCCTTGGCGAAGCCGTTTATCCAGGCACCAGGCAACCCGGTCGAAGCTAAATATCTCAAGCTAACTGATAATTTTTCAGCTTGTTGATTTCGAGTGGCTGTGTACGCGTTAGTAGCAGCCTAATCCCCATTGACGCAACACTTGTTCGAGCCTTAATCACGCTAAGACTTAGTTTATACGTTTAGCAGTTAGTCAGAAGATCAAGCTTCGATACAGACTCAATTCTACCAAGCCCCCCGAGAGTCCATGAAACGAGAGGAACCGAATTAAAGGAGCCAATGCGAGGAAATAGTAAAGTAACTAGATCACTGTACGTTATTTTTGGTTCCCGATACTAAAACTACTTATTTTTCCTTTCTTTCGTGTCCTTCATATGTTGGGCGTTAGCCTTCTTGGCTACGTACTGGTCTTTTTCCCGCAAAAGGGAATACTTGTAAGATCTACGCAAGGTGCTTAGTTATTCATGCAGTCGAGCTTGGCCTGTGAGTCGTTGAGAAAGACAGTCGGATACCGAAGTCTCAAAAAGGGAGATAGTTGCTTGGGATGGAAAAGAGTTGCCTGGACCTGTTCAAGTCACCATGTCGCCCATACATTAACCCACATGAGATGTTGAAATTTGACACTTTGCAGCCTACGTGAATATAGATATATGATCCCCGTGAAAGATTCTAGCCACCCTTGGGCATCATTTTTATCGGGTTGGCTAATCCAATCAAGATCCTGGATTGGAAAACTACAAAAAGGGTTCGGCCAAGCACAATATGAACACGGATATTAGATATATGCATGCTAGGTCTCATGATCCTACGATTCTTTAGAGATGGAGAAAGACACTCCCCCTGCCGTTTCCAGTGTCTGAGAGGGAGAGCAACACGAACGGAAGGAATATTACGATTTAGCATAAATAAGTCCGAACGGTCAATAGAAGCTTGAAGGGCATTGCGAGCTCCGTGAGGGGTCAAAAGAGGGATGGGGGTAATTACTACCATGCAGTCCTGCCTAGTCCCAAATTATCATTCGCATGACGTTAAATTGAGTAATAATACAACGTTGAAGTTATAGATCTACTGACACGGTACTTCCCGAGCGGATAAACAATCGGCAGACAATATTCAATGAAGAGTCAGTGAGTCTGGAAGATTCAGCCTAAACTATTCAGACCCAGGGAGTCAACCTTCGCGGGGTTTGTTCCGCGGCGAGTATCAATGGCAGGACCTATGTGGCTGAAATGAACGTAAGTATAAAATCCTATTAACTTCCATGAAATCGACCCGATGGCAAAAAAGCCAAGTGATTACAACCCAATTGTTGCAATGAAGCACACAGCACTTCTCTTATGTCTCTTGGCGGGCAATGTCCTTGCCAGACAGCCGCCGTGGAAGTTTGAGACCCGAGATTGCCTTCCAGCACAGAACTTTACAGCAGACATAACGTACGATGCTTGCTACGTAGACAGTGGCTCTCCGAGAACGCTCAGTGGTGTCAGTGTTAAGCTCAGCAATAACTCACCACAGGCCTGTGCTGACCTTTGTGGTCGGTTCGGCTTCAAATATGCGGGTGTAGAATATGGAAGGTTTAATCAGACCGTAACCCGTATTTGACCGATCTCAATATGCTAATTCTGGGGAAAAGGGAATGCTACTGTGGAAATGAGATCAGAAATGAAAAGGCGATAGAATCCTCTTGTGGAACCAAATGTCCCGGAGATGAGAACCAAATATGTGGCGGCACCTACTTGTAAGTTGCAACAAACTTGATTCCGCATGAAGCTGACTTCTAATATCTCCTTACTTCATAGCGTAAGCATTTGGAACGTCGAAAATCCCCTTGAAACAGGAGAATACCCCATCCATTTTCCCGACTGTAATCGTGAGCCGCTCTGTTCCAACGCCGTTTGTGATCCTTCTCTCTCGCCAAAAGAAAGAGCTACCGCTCTCCTATCTCTATGGACTATCGAGGAGAAAATTACAAATCTCGTCGAAGATGCATCCGGGGTTCCAAGATTAGGGATCAAACCATATCAGTGGTGGGCTGAAGGGCTTCATGGCTTAGCGAGCCGCGGCGTGACCTTCGATAGCCCTTCATTGGGAGAGTGGTACTGTGCAACTTCATTTCCACAGCCTATCTTGGTTGGAGCTGCTTTTGACGACGAACTCGTGACTGCCATGGCCGATGTTATTGGCACCGAGACACGAGCTTATAACGCTGATGGGCGTGTCGGTCTAGATCTCTATGTAAGTTACAGATGACTATCCAATGTTTGAAAGCTCCTCTCTAATCCAAGTTGTATAGACCCCCAACATCAACTCGTTCAAAGACCCTCGGTGGGGTCGTGGGCAAGAAACTCCTGGTGAAGACCCATTTCATCTCCAAAGCTACACAAGATCGCTCTTATCTGGCCTTGAGAGGGAGGTCGGGGGCTACAAGAAAGTTATCACAACCTGCAAACACTATGCTGGGAATGATTTTGAGTCGTTTGGAAGTGTTACGCGCCATAATTTCGATGCACAAATCAGTATGCAGGATCTGAATGAGTTCTATCTTGTGCCGTTTCGAGTTTGCGCCGAACGCAACGCAGGCGCTTTCATGTGTAGCTATAATTCCGTCAATGGCGCTCCTGCTTGTGCGAACAGCTACCTGATGCAGGATATTCTTCGCCAGCATTGGGGCTGGGAGAAGGACGAGCATTATATTTCTTCCGACTGTGGTGCAATTTCGGACATCTGGGAAAATCACAAGTATTCTCAGACAGCAGGTGAAGCTGCTGTTACTGCTCTACGAGCAGGGACCGATCTCGAGTGCGAATTTGGTAACACGGACTTGCTGAGGGATGGTTGGAGTAATAACCTGCTCACAGAAGAGGATATGGATAAAGCACTGACTCGGATGTGGTCAGCCCTCATCTCTGTTGGATGGTTTGATCCTCCTGAAGGGCAAGAGTTGCGTAAGCTTTCATTCAAAGACGTCAACACAGAGCAGTCACAGAAGCTAGCATATGACGCGGCTGCGGCAGGGTCCATCCTCCTCAAAAATGAAGATAATCACCTGCCCCTTGAGAAAAAAGGCAAGGTAGTGCTCATTGGCCCATGGGTTAACGCCACGCAGCAGATGCAAGGCAACTATTTTGGCCCCCCTCCATATCTCATTTCTCCCCGTCAAGCCGCCGAAGATTTTGGGCTGGACTTCACATGGGCTGTTGGCTCGGCCATTAACGGCCCTGACCCTTCGTTTGATGACGCAGTTGAGAAGGCAAAAACGGCCGACCAGATTCTCTTCCTGGGTGGTCTTGATAACAGCATAGAAGCTGAGTCTAGGGATCGGCTTAATATCACATGGCCAGAGGCCCAGCTTAGTCTCATCAGAGAGCTATCTAGCCTTGGGAAGTCTATCACCGTTGTTCAATTTGGAGGTGGCCAACTAGATGACAGTGAGCTCTTCGAAAACGAGGAAATCAAATCGGTTCTGTGGTGTGGATATCCAGGACAATCAGGCGGCAAAGCTGTTATTGATCTGATATTTGGCCTTGCCGCGCCAGCAGGACGTCTTCCAGTCACACAATACCCCGCTGGATATGTTGAACAAGTACCGCCTACTGATATGACTCTGCGTCCTGGCCACAACGGAACAAACCCCGGGCGAACGCACATGTGGTATTCCGGAGAGGCAGTTAAACCTTTCGGTTTCGGCCTCCACTACACTAGCTTCAAGGTGTCGTTCGATGGGGACTTTGAGTGGCAAGGCGAATTCACCCCGGGTGATATTTCCAAAGTGGGAATCCTCGCTGAAAGCACACCATGGATGGATTTGATCAACAAGCCTGTGTTGAAGGTACCGATTTCTGTTGAGAATACTGGCACACGTGAGTCCGATTATGTGGCTCTTGTATTTCTTCGGTCCAAGGCTGGCCCGGAGCCATGGCCCAACCAAACTCTAGTTGGCTATACTCGCGTCAGAAGCATCAAGCCCGATGAGACAAAAACGGCTGAAGTCGTCTTGCAACTAGAGAGATTTTTGCGTGTCGACGAAGATGGAAACCGGGTACTCTATCCTGGTGAATACGAACTCTTCATCGATGTTGACGAAAGGGCGAATCGGACCGTGAATTGGACTGGAGAGCCGGTGGTCGTGGAGAAGTTTCCACATCCTAGTTGATGGGCTAGGTCTGTTAAGTTGTCTCTTGGCAGCCTTGCAAGAGTAATCTATTAACAATGCTAAAGGCAATGACAAGAAACTGTTAAATCGTTCTATGATATTCAGCTCCATATTATGTTCATCACCAGGTCGATTATTTCGATATTCTACTGACCTATAATACTGGAGGTTCTGGGTATGCCGTATTTCAAAGCCAGTCGCTTGCCTATTACTCGTTGAACTAGTTAATTCCGACGTATCTCCAGTCAGTATCAGCGGATTCTTTTCCCCAGTCCGCCCTAGTACGCCCGCTGTTCGCTTTTGAAGCCGGGAATGGTATTCTCCACCAATAGGCTTGATCCGGATGCTGACAGTAATGAGACAAAAGTCTCCATCATGATGTCGTAACAGCATTGGGGTCTGTCGAAAACCAGCTGACCATTCAGCTAGCCAACTGGGCCTGTCGATCTCCGACTCTACATGGCTAGAACCAAATACCCCAGCTCCATATTGCGAACTCGCGTTGGCCATCGGGGTAACCTCCGGTCTACCCCGGTTATGGCCTGCGGGGAAATGTCTCTCTCCACGTTAATCCTCCGGGGAGAGACTGCCGAACACTGACCGCTCTCTTTCGCTTGATTGTCGATAAATATACTCCTAAGTAATCTATCAATTCTACTTTGATTTAACTACCAAAACAAGACTTTGAACTTTTTAATTGGATCACAATGGCCTCGAAGATCATTGATCAAGGCTCACCCCCTGGCTCTCCTCGCAAGAGTGTGGAGAGTGTTACGCAAAACGAGTACGCTGGGCCAGTCCAGGTCAATGGGATCCGACAGAACCATCATGAGATCTACGAAGAAGCCCTACGACGATACCCAAACGATGATGCTATTGACTCGGAAGCGGAAAGAAAGTTGGTCCGCAAACTGGACATGCGCATTCTCCCTCTCCTAGGTATTTGTTACTTCTTCTACTACGTTGATAAGACGACATTGTATGTTACCCTCTTTCTACGAGGCATATCATAACCAGAAGACCCAATTGACACAGTGTAGATCATATGCAGCCATCTTCGGCCTGAAGGAGGGTCTTAATTTGCAGGGGCAAGAGTACTCTTGGTTGTCCAGCTGCTTCTACTTCGGTTGGCTCGTCTGGGCCATTCCGTCCAACCTGCTGATGCAGCGCAGCCCGCCAGCATGGTATCTGTCATTCAATATCTTCATGTGGGGGGCACTTCTTATGGCCCAGGCTGCTGCGCACAATTTCGCTGGGCTGCTGGCACTTCGTATCCTATCTGGTGCTTTTGAAGCGATTGCCGACCCCGCCTTTATGCTGATTACTACGATGTTCTTTACCCGGGAAGAACAGCCATCGCGAATTTCTGCGTGGTATGCATGGAACGGCATCGGCGTTGCTGGTGGCGGGTTGATTGGTATGTTGAAGCACGTTGAAACGAAGACGTTGATGAGCTAACATACTCATGTACAGGATATGCGATCGGACACATCCAGGGCGCCCTCGCCTCTTGGCGTTATGAGTTCATTATTGTCGGCGCATTCTGCTCCTTCTGGGCGATTGTCCTCGTACTGATGCTTCCAAACTCGCCTACCACGATCTGGGGATTCACCAAGGAAGAGAAGCTCATCATGATTGCCCGCCTTCGAAGGAACCAAACCGGTGTTGAGCAAGGAAAAATCAACTGGAAGCAGATCCAAGAGGCCTATTGCGACTACAAGACTTGGCTCTTCACGCTCCTTGGCTTCGTTGCCAACATCCCAAATGGCGGCATCTCCAACTTCTCAACTCTTGTTATTAAGGGACTCGGCTTCAACACGCTAAATACGGCCCTTCTTGGCATCCCACAGGGTGTAATTGTCGTCATCTGGATCGGCCTTGGCGCCTTGGCGAACAAGTACATGCCTAAGAACAGCCGCACCTTGGTGTGTGCTATGTTCATGATCCCGACTATCGCTGGAGCTTTAGGATTCTTGCTTGCGCCTAACAATGCTTATGTTGGGCGTCTCATCTGTTTGTACGTGCAACATGATCGATCCATTACCTTGGCTAGGCTAACATAAACACATTTAGCTACCTCACCGGATCATACCAGGCCTCTTTTGTTATTTCCCTATCACTGATCACCTCTAATACCGGCGGACAGTCTAAGAAGATGATTGTTTCCGGAATGATATGGTTTGGTGCATGCATCGGAAATATCGTTAGCCCGTAAGTGCAAATCCTATCTCTTCGCGATATCAGGTTCTTCTAACACGCCCAAGTTTCTTCTATCTTACCGAGCAAGCTCCCACATACCGGCTCGGTATTGGCTCTTTGCTTGTTGCTAATATCATCGAGCTCGCCCTGTTTTTCGTCTTCCGCTATGCTTTCAAATGGGAGAACAAGCGCAAGGAGATGAAACGTGCGGAACTTCGGGCGCAAGGCACCCTCACAGAATCATTGAACGCCACGGCTTTCACTGACATGACAGACAAGGAGAACCCGAACTTTGAATATGTTTACTAGCCGAATGTTAGACGTCGAGTAGAGATCATTTACAACCTTGGAGCACCGCACGCGAGTTAGATTTGGGGCAGGATACAAGGCGATATTCACCTTTAGACTGAGCGTCGAATTATTGATATATGATAGTCAACTAAGCCATATTTTCTCTTTTACCGAGATAGACTTGAAACTCAGGTATGAGGGTCTTGTTAATTTGCCCCCTTCATGTCGGCAAAACACCCAATCTAAACTAAAAACCCCTACCCGCTCATAGTGATTATTGATTCTCTCTAGAACCATAGCCTTGCTAGAACACATCATCCTGTTGACACCCATGATCTCTTCTGTGAATGAATGGATGGCTATATATGAGTCTTGGGTCTCGGTGAAATCTACCCGCTGGCGATCGTGCCCTTCAAGTTGAGAGAAAATGATACCACCTGAGCCTGTATCGATCTTAACGAAGAACCCGTCGTTTGGGGGTTTTGCGTAGGACGCGGCCATTCCTTTCATTGAATCCTTCTCCTCCTGGGAAAAATTTATTTTGACAATCTCAAGGGGAATCATATCCGTCTCGAGGAGCAAGTTCGAGGAGAACACGTCTTGGAGAATGTGTTTTCCAGGCCGTAGAGGGAGCTGTTCTATAGAATAGCACCGATTATTGTGCTTCTCCGAGAACCACACATGGCTATCCAAGAAAATGCCCTTGTTCACAACATTCCCCATTGAGACATGATCTTTGACCTTCCCACGCCATCCAGTCCACGACCAGCTGGGAAACCCCTTTTTCCGTGTGAAACCGTGAGGGTAGGCAGGAGAGGGTTCCCAGAGAAGATTGATGATAAACCGGGTTGACCTTGATCGAGTCGTGCTTATAGGCAGCAAACTGAAGTCTGTTCGTTTGAAAAAGTCCCCTTCACTGCAAATTATTGGGATGCCCCAGAAATTGTGTATCGGATTCCTGGCCCTCGTAAACGTGTTTAACACGCCTTGGATAGCATCCAGTGTATCTCTTGCGTATGTGAGCTCCCGCTTTGAAAAGTCAGAGACATATTTCATATATTCTTGCGGATTTGTGCCTGGGGTTTTAGCTCCAAAGGCACCGAGTCTGTAGGCATCCATGTCGAACATTTCGTTTGTTTTATTGTGCATACGGCTGAGGTCGAAGGAGACAGCTTCGCAGCAATGCATCCCGTTGCATTCAAAGAGAACCTGGCTGTCGGTGAATATGAGGCGTTTCCTGCTCAGGATCCCTTCTTGATATGTCCAGCCACGGGTGTGCCACTTAGACTTCTGGACCAGATACCTCCCAATTGGCAAAGTAGATATCAAAGTTGTGCCATCTTGGATGGTTATCTGTCTCTGTGGATTTCGAAAGGTTCCGTTTACCCCAGGCAACCCACGTTCCGGACCGTATCCAGCAGCTGCAATGATTGTCAAGGCGGACCGGGCATATATGAGATCCATCTGATTAATCTGATGACGTTGCTTTTTCCTGTCGGTCTGGTCTATACACAGCCGATCAACCCAAAGGTACCGCATTCCCATCATCAAGGTAACAGCTATGCTGTCCTCAATGACCTTTTCGAACCTAGCCTTAGGCGGTTGCCTTTTCACTAATTTAGGTGTTGAACATCCCCATACGTAAGACAATGATACGTATCGGCATCCAATGGGGGCAAAGATAACTTGGCGAGTGCGGCAATCAAGAACATGCAGACCGGGAGGGTCAACAGCCATCGGGTCATGGCATCGCGTCGAGTGATTATCCTCGCAGTATGATATCCAACTCTTAACCATTTCGACGTCAAAGCTTCTGGGATTTACTCTGTTGACTTTTGTGACCATCGGTGTGTCCTCTACTGATGGCTCCAAGCTCAGGTACCCAGTCTCTTCCATAGCCAGACGAATCTTTGCCATGTCTCCCCCATGGATAGCATTAGAGCCCCAGTTAGAGGGCACAACGCCTAACAGGTTTTTCCTTGCTGGCTCACGGGCCGAGCCCGTAAAGACCCAATTCGTATTAAAAACTCGCAGGTCGAAATCCTCGAATGCCAGTCCGGCTGGCGCACTGCGCGGTGCAAAAGTGGCGAAAAAGCGGCATAATCGACAGTTGGAGGCTTTGAGTGCCTCAATTGAGCCGAGGTGCCTTACAAAAGCACTTTGGGAGTAATTCAACTTGGAGAGGCGTTTAAAGTCGGTCTCGGCACACTGGGTGCATAATCCTCCATTATCTGTGGCATTGATCATTTTGGCTTCGCCGACAAAAATGTCGCCGTTCTCCCCATTTGTCCACAGTTTCTGCACCTTTTTCGTTTTATCGAATTTCTGACATGGGATTCTGACAATGACGTAGCGAGCCAACATGGGAATCATGTCATGCGGGGGTTAAGAAGGCGGGATTATGTGGCTAATCATGCACTGCCCCGTCCGTCAGACTGGCGTTGCATCGCCAGGGCTGAATCTGGCCCTGTCTAGTGACGTCGTTTTGCCAGACTCGCGGGCTGACTCTATTGACAACTTTCTTTTTTCTCTCTCGTCGGTTCAAGCTCAAAAAAAAGGTCTCTTAAATGACACAGCAAGGTTGATCTCTGTTTTGCTAAATTACCAGCATTACCCGAATAAAACAAGCTATCTCGAACAGAAGACTCCTTTCCAAGCATGATAGTCGTGTTGTCCCAGAACCAGTTGACCAAGGTGCAGGAGTAAGTTGATCATACGAGCTTGCAGATCTCTTGATGCGGTATTTTTTCCCTTGGGTTCCATAATTCTCATCTCAATGTCTCTCTGACGATAATCCATGCCTTAACTTAAGGATACTCCTACCTATCTCACGTTTTCTTAAGCTCATTGGGGACGTTGGATCAAGAGGCGACGAGAAACATCGGATAAGATGACTTGACTGTAGATCGTTTCATTCATTTATCGGCCTTCCTAACAAGCCATGCATAAATTATTCAAATTGAAATGCCTCTCTGTTCTTACAGCTTGGCGCGGGGGATGTTCGCCAGCTCTTGGCCGGCACTACTACGCCAAGCACCAGTTGACTTGGCCTTGGTTTCCTTCCATTGCCACTTGGGCTGAGACTGAACTCCCTTATCCAAAAGATCCTTCACGAAACCTCCAAAGATGGGCAGCATCTTAAATCCATGGCCCGAGTCGCCGGACAAAACAACCAGCGAGGAGTTGGTGCCCGGGACAAAGTCGACAATATAATCGGAGTCGTCTGTATCGGCGAACCAGCACAGATGCTGGTCAATCAACGGCCGGTCAGCAAACTGGGGAAGAACCTCTCGTAATAGTCTTCTGATGTAGATCTCGTCCTCCTCGGGAACGAACTGGGAGTCCTCCAGCTTAGAGTAAGGAAGGGAGAAGCCGTCGGCAGAGCCAGCGTAGTTTGTGTAGCCACCGCCCATGTGGCAGAACTTGAGTTTGTTGGTGGTCCTGTCGGGCTCGAAGAAGAAGGCGAGATCGCGCACATTTGTGACGGGGATGCCTCTCAGGGTCTCCGCCTCCTCGGGAGTGAGCTGGATGTGCACAACACCCCAGCATCGACCAGCGACCTGCTTGCCCAATCGGGGTACTAAATTGCAGACATCGGCGCCCAGCGCCAGGATGGTCTTGTCGGCGAGATGGATGTGGCCGCCCTTGGTCTTGGCTCCAATACAAGAGGTGCCACCCCGTGAGGAAGAGTAGATGAGGGATTCGACCTCACCGCGCTGGGGTCCAGTTTCGAACTTGACGCCGAGCTTGACGCAATCCTCGTAGACGGCACGAAGGGCGTTGGCAGAGTGGCCGTAGCCTGCAAGCTTGTTGAAGTACCCTGTCCAGCCCTCGACGGGGCCAGAGAACGCGGGGATGAGCTTCTTGATCTCAGCCTCACCATTTACCCTCTGGACTAAACCGTTGAATGCGGGATTCGATTCAATGGAGGAGATGTAGCTGGAAACCACGCGCTTCGTGGACTCTGGGGCGGCTTTTGATGTGACATTGAGAAAGCCAGTCTCGTGGTAGTAAGGCTTATAGAAGGGGTCTGATTGCCATTTCCGGATGGCATCCTGGAGGGGGAGGGTTAGAAACACTGAACAACTCGGATTGGGAATTGGGGCCAAGATCCTGTGATCTGCATACCAGGCTTAGGTCGGTGTAGAAAGGGTCGGCGTACTCGGCACGAATGACCTTGTTCAGGTCATAGGCGGCGGAGAAGCTACTGGGGACGGTCTGGCCCTTCTCCAGCACTGTGATGTTCTTGTGGCCGTTGGAGGCGAGGTGGTGGGCGGTGGCCAGGCCAAAGCAGCCTGCGCCAAGAATCAGGACGGAGTCTGAGCTCATGGTTCTAGGTGTGTAGTCGTCTAACTTGGCGACAAGACACGGGACGCGTATGTGAAATCGACGGTGAATGAATGGAACAATCTTGCTGCTTGTAGCCCCGTGGGGTAGGGCTAGAGGCCATTATATCTGCTGAGCGACCAGAGGGATTGATCCCGATATGAGGCCACTCGATGTCGGATGGGCAGCCGACGGGAGACTACGTCGGCGCCGAGAGTGGCCACCGATGGCTGAGATGAAGCCACTGATGGAGTTTGTTCGCGTTACGGCAAGCTCAAGCGCCTCCGAGATCGCAGAAAGATGCAGCCTGGAGATCGCGAGGAAACAATTATAGCGGGCGCATTGCCCTGTAACAGCGGCTAGACCCCCCACAAAGCGCTGGATCTCAGTGGCGAACGGCCGATCTGCAGCTTGATTGGCCGTCGCCTGGACCTTCCACTTAGATAAACATCCATATTGGGCTAGCGCAGAAGATAACGTGATAAGATATCCCATTCTTAGATTTTGTTTCCTCCAACCCCTTGAGCCTCTTCCTTGGACAGTGCTTTACAGAAAACGCCGGTGTACGATACTAGGACCAATCTCATCGTATTCCGCTGCCAGGATGCACATGCTCCGAAACGTTGACAGGGACGACAGCATTGCACCTCCGATCCACGCCGAATGCTTCCTTTCCGCCGGGGCATGAACGCCGACTTTCGCTGGCGAAGGGACAAGTCTTGTCATCTCAGCCTGCATCCGGCTCTCGATTCCAGGAAACATGCTTGACCCGCCTGCCTATATCCGGGATGTCAGTAGATATCCCGGTCTTTGGACATGGTTACTTACCAGGACGATGTTTCCATAGAGAATTTCCCTGATGACCTCGTCAGATTTTGCTATCGAGGCAGCAGCGAGTTGGTGGATCCCAGCCTCCCCATTGAATCCCATCAGATGAGGTTGGAAGAGAACTTCAGGTGTAAGTAATCTTTCTTTCCCAACCGTGATGGACTTCCCATCCGCCAATGCGTAACTCGTTTCTGTTGGTGGAGTGTAGCTTTCTTGAAACGCCCGAGCTTCGCCTTCGAAGTCTTGCGCAACATAACAATACTCTTCCTTGATATTTGCAGCTAGAGCATGTTCCTGCCTTGTCTCCAAACCATGACCGCTATCCTGCAGGGTTTTGATGAAATAGTCCGTCATTTGTTGGCCGCCTATATCTAAGCGCTGAACTCCGTGGCGGAGCGCGACGCCTTCATATACAGGAACGATACGTGTAGAATATAGGCCAGAATCAACTACCAGGCCCGTATTTCGACCCGAGGCGCACAATGCAAGAGATCCCTGTGTGGAAAGATTCAGTGCTCCAATGTGGAAATACTCGAACAATGCAGTAGCTGCTTTCTCCCTACTACCCTTCGAGTTGAGTGCCGGCTCAGTTAGAAGAATAGAGGAGCCTTCAGTGTCGTATCGGAGCTTCTTGTCGAATAAATATCTCCAGAGCAACTCCATGTCATCCACGTTGACAATTATGCCATTGTCAACTGGTTGCCGGGGCGAGCAGAATCCAATCCGTGACTCGTCTACATCCTCGCCGGCATACCAATCAATCTGGGCCGAACCCATGTAGGCGCTGGGGAAGGAGGTTAGTGGAAATGTGAGTATATTGATGAATGAGAGCGGAGCAAATGCTCTGACTCTATGCAAAGGGGGCGTGAATTATCAACCTCGTATAGCGTCTTCTGGAAATCAATGACGCTGTTTAAATGTCAACATAGAATACGTTTTAGCCGTTCGAAATGGCTCACGAGAGACAACGGACGGCGTCTTTTCGCCCGAAAATCCTCCTCTAATGGTGTGGGATCTTTCAAGAATAGGTTGTGAGTAAATAAGGTCAACACCGAAAGGGATTACGCTAGATTCCATTCGAAAAACACTTGCTATCACATCCGGCTCGGCAAGAGAGAACATACCCATTGTCAATCACGATCGCTCTGGGATGGCCTAAAGGCAAATCATTATCCGTCGCCTTGGCTCCATGAACTTGTAGGTAGGAGAACGTTTTCCAAACTCTTACCCTGCATATTGGAGATCCAAAAGGTTTAATATCTTGGTTCGTTTTCGAGTAATGGTGAAGAGATTGAGGGAAGGTCCCTCAGCGCTTGGTGTACGTATGCGTCCGGATGGTTTGAGGAGACAGTGCGGGGAAGATCTAATTTAGGCATCAGCATCCATTATCAATGGAAGGTAATCCAGTAAGTTTATTCAAAAGGCCCCCATTCAAGTGATCAAGAGGCAGGCATTTCCCTCAATTGTATACTTGTTTATTGTTTTAGGGTTTTTTATCGCTCTCACTGAGTCACCTCGTTTAACCTTAGTGCCTAAGCTGGCTTAGGCATACTATCATCTCGTAAATTAATTTTGATGCTGACGTGAACAATGAACCCTAATGAATATCAACTACCTACATTGACATCGTATCAAAAGGCTGGTGAGGTCCTTCCTGCCCATTGGGCAATGGACCAAAGTTTCATAACAAAGCATGTGCTTGCCCATTGTTTACCAGAGGCTGCCAGAATGCACTTCTAATTGAACGTGACGCGAAGCTTGATCAACCTCATCCTGTTTCCATACACGCCAAACTACATCTTACCAATCGATATCTTTTGTGTCCGAGCGACAAACTGTTCAGTTATTCACATCTATAACCCTCAGAGACGGAATCAAAGCGATAACTCTGCAATACAAGACCCAGACTGCGTACCGCGTCGGAAACTCTTCAAAATCCCAGCACCTTTACGTCCCAATCAGTTCCAATCAGCTCAATCAGACAGCGGACCATCTGGCAGACAAGATGGACGAACTCGACGCATTCAGGCAAGGGATCGTCGAACTCGAGGAGGTCGTTCAAGAGGCTCGTGCCGAGCTCCACCGTTTGCTCGAAAAGTCCGACGTCAACAAAGAATTCCTATCAAAGCTTACCGATATGGGAAAGCTGACCAGCCACTTCCGGAGAACTCAAGGGACTGTTAGGGACATGGAACTAGCTGAACGAGCGCTGTACCAGGACCTCATGGTTCTCGTGGCCAACAACAGACTCAAGGTTGACCAACAGTCGGCAACCATACAAGAACGACTTCCAACAATGGAGGCGGAGCTACAAGAGTTAAAGGACCAATACAGAAGAGAACAAGGGGAACAGAATTTTCTCGCTAGACTTATCCCGGAGCAACAAGTCAATGCAGAAGAGGATAGCTCGGGGGATGATCCGTCATCAGAAAATGGGGAATCCCAAGAGGCTGAAAGCTCTGATGAGGATCTATCACGAGAAGATGGGGAATCCCAAGAGGCTGACAGCTCCGATAATGATCTATCACGAAAAGATGGGGAAGCCCAGGAGGTTAGCAACCCCGATGATGCTGGGGATATTTTGTAGTAAAGGGAATATTGTCTAGGGAGATTACAGCGCATAGCGAAATAATTGCCAAAAACTATCTCATTTGCATCAAAGCTTTAGATCCCCCTCCACCATCCAGAGTTGACAAGTGAATTAGCTGAGCAGCCCAGCATGAGACGTAGGCTACTCGGTGACTTTTTCCGGCCAAGATTCTGAGAACAGTTCGATCTTGATAGTCCTGATCTTATGATCTCGCCTTGCTTGGGGATATCCGTCAATGCCATGGGTCGTTGGGCGAGAGATGCATACCCATCGCATTGGCTCGCTTAACCCTAGCACATGCCGCAAGACACAAGGGCTTAGAAATGCCTAACCCTTGTAAAGGCTACGATGCACACATAACAGGTCACAAGGGAATCTGAAGATCAGTCTCTACCCGCCTTCTCGGAAAAGATCCACCTTATGCGAGACGAAGGAAGCGATGCAGATCAGGGGATGCTCGCACAGTTTATTCAGGACCTCACAAGGCTAGCAGAACAGGTTTTTCAGAATCATTTGTCAAGATGTTTGTTTGCATTAAAATACAATATCAAGGACTCCATTGATTTTCGCTTTGGAGCGCTATCAACACCATTTCCTATCATGAGAATGCAGTGTTGACCCAGTAACTCCCTTAAAACCAATAGACCGAGCTAATGTCCAAATCCCAAATCAAAATATAAACAAGAGAATGCAGGCTATGCAGTTGTGTGTATGCTTTAAACCGAAAACAAAAGAAGATTCCCTGCTTCTTGTCATGATGCCACCCACGCAAGCGCTAAGTGTTGAAGCTCCTCGCAACTTTGTCGTTTAGCTCCTGCTCTTCCTTTGCTGACAGGGGAGCTTCCACGGGCACATTGCGGCCTGTCGCAGCCATGGTGAAGCTGCGCAGCGCGGTACCTGATGCGGTCTGAGATCCGTAAACATAAAGGGCCGCAGCTAATCGAGCGCAGGGAAGTTAGCATGTTGTGCTTTCACGATGCTCCAGATACAGTCTCTGATGTGGACTTACCTCCTGCGGTTGTAGCTACCAGAGCCCAGGGGACGGCTTTCGCGATCCTCGCTTGCCTGGTAATGGCGGGCATTGGTCGCTGGACCTGGAATGGGAGAGGTCCGCCGAATGAGTTGGTCGTCATAATTGGTTGGCGGTGCTTGTTTCTTCGGTTCTAAACGAAGATGCGTGCGCAGATGGCTTGAGATGTGAAGTGTACGAGTTGATGCTGGATGTCAGGACACGGAAAATAAAATCAGGTGCCAAAACCTGAATGTTAAATACAGAGCGACGAGGATTGGCTTCGGATGGCTTCGGATTGTCAACATCTCGTAGATTGCGTATCTATTCTGAGTATCTAGGGGTCAATTCCCCCAGCCATGTCAGGTCATGTCGACCGCCATGGACTGGTGGCAAGATGGCATCTGGTGGTTTCGCTGACCCTTGTGGCGTGATGAGCTGATGTTGCTCCCGCAGTGACGTGGGAAAATGTAGGTGACGGTCGCAGGTTCCTTGCTCAGGGGTCAGGGGGACAGGAGGGCCGCCAGAGTCATGCACTCAGAGGCCGTTACAACCCAATACAGCGGGCTGACACACCCCGGTTCTATCCATAGCATTGAGTAGCATTACCAATCTCTGGCCATCTAACATCCCTACGAGTTTAGGCAGCTCAGCCAATGTCGAGGCGCCCGTTGCCCAAATCACCCGCAGGGAAATCTCGGAATACCACCAAAGCCCCATCCGACATATCCCGACCACTCACACGCAAACTTACGAGATATCACTACTCCTATCCATAATTACACCGCGTTAGCTTAGGCTATGCAAAACAGAGTGAAACCATGCTGAACAGGAAAGGGGCGGAACGAGATGCCCGACATGGTCCTTTTGCGGCTCGTGCCGATTCTGACCATTTGTTAACGAAAAGATCCAGTCGGGCGCTAATTGTTGATCAAAGTGCCACACATCTTGATTGTTGCAAAGCCCCGAGAGCCCGATGGCACATTCGAAGAGAAAGATTCGCCTTTCTAACCCTCCCAATGGATACAATTGTCTTGCACACTCTCCTCGCCACCAGCAATGCGAAAGAATTCAGCGGTCAGTCCGAGACCATATCATGCCATGATTATCGCGGTCTTTTTTCGAGACATAATTGCTCTCCCCGCGCAATGTCACCCCTCCTCTTGATATCTATGTTTAGCTCTTTCCACCCATTTTTCGTGGCTTTGTAAGGTTTCGTGCTGCACTTGGGTTCCAATGGGCATCTTGACTCTAATTGTCATAACGCGTGCCATTGAGGTATTTCGGCATCGCACGATTGATCTCGCCAATACCTGTAGCTAGAAAGAATTCAAGCATGTAAATTACTCAATACACTTTTGGTAGGTGGCTTCCTTTAGGTCCATTTAGAACACTGCGTAGAATTCCGGTCCAAAGATACGTTTCATCAATATCTCCTCACGCCAAGGCGCTGATGATCCACGTTGATCCATAAACAAGCAGTTGATCAAAGCAAATTTTTCCAAGGGCATAGCAGAGTCAGAGGCATCATAACTCTATAATAAGAGTCTTGTAAGCTCAAAGTCCATGTCGGTCAATGCCTCGGCGCGCATTGTTTACTCGATTATTTCTCTGTCGACTCTTTCTCTCTGTTCAGCAGGTGGTCAACACTAACTTTAGGGCAAGTTCGAGACCCAAGATGGGATTGAAAGCCTTTTTCGTATTATAGTATCAGATGGTTGTTCAGAAAAAGCCGTGCAACACTAACCTTGAAGTCTAGACCCCTTTGCACATGTTGAAAAGCCTTGCCCTAGAATCACACAAGATTTACTTATATTTTGACAGTATTTCATAGCGACCGTATGTATTTTCTTGAATGCATGTAGTTTGGCCTAGATTTAATTGCAAAGTACCTAATTCCGGTGGTTTGAATCGCGTTTGGAGTGTAAAACGAGGGCTGCCATAGGGTAAGGTAGCTCATTGTGTGGCGTGGCGCTAATTGAATCTTTCGTCCACGGGAACCTCCATGTCCACAATGTTTTTGTCCGAATGCTCTGAAAAAAATTCCATATCTTCTCAGTCTTCCAGATATATTCTTAAGGCCAAACTAGACGATTTTTCTTTTGGGGATGAATATATATTTCCTAGATAGCTCTGTGAATTGATCGATTGATCAGGCGGGAGGCATGAATGCTCTTCTTGGACTAGTGCCATGAGAGATCTCACTTAAATCACGTGCCAATAATTTCGGCTTCGTTTCCGACCAGCACAAACTTCCACAACGGCCGTGCGTCCGATCATCACACGACTCTGATCGCTCATTGTGGCTGTCGAATTGAGCTAGAACACCAAAGCCGCCCGTGCTCTTCTTCAACATGCCGAATCTCGACGCAAAGATACACGAGACAATAGGTAATAGGGACACCTTCACTCTTTTCCCCAAGCTTCCCCCGCAGCTTCGACGGTACGTATGGATCCAGGCATTGCCGAGCGACTTAAAGACAGCACCGGCCTTTCTGTTTCCGTATAAGAAGGGCTGCTGGCACCATGAGCGTGTTATAAAATCTGATGACAACGACAATGATGATCATCCCCGCTCAGTCCGCACGTATGAGTTCCGCACTGAACTTCTCGATACGGCCCAGTTCAAGACCAATATCGCATTGGTCAACCGTGAGTCCCGAGAGGTTGCGAAGACTTGGATTCGACAACAAAGGGTTCTGCAAGCGGCAACATGGGATACAACACCCTCAGCGATCTTCCATGCTTTTGACCCCAACCGCGATGCCCTGTTCGTACCTTTGATTCAGTGGGACGAGCTTCTCGAGGAGTTGTACGAAGGATTTGTCAATACACTGAGGGGCTGGGGGCACCTTGCTCAGATTGCCACCTCAAAGGTGAAGTACTTGGCTGTGACAGATGACTTGCTACTTTGTGAGTTTGATACCGTCCGTTGGCTGCGGGATATCCTTGTCGCTTTCCCCAAGGTAGAAGCTTTGCTGGTTGTTGCCGGCCCCATCGACTACAGTGGCGAAACAAAGCCGCCAAGATACTATAACTTCAGCCAAGCATCAGAACTGTGTAAGTACAAATGGAACAACGGACGTTGGGGGCTGGACCGTGGGAGTGGACATTATCTCGACGGCGAGATACAAGATGGATCCATTGAGCCTTTGCTTGAACACATCAAGCATGCTTTTGACCTATTCCCCCGCGTCGAACCGTTCATTGAGGTTTGGAGTGTCGTTGCTGAGAATATCCTCTAACAAACTGAGAGGCCTATTCTGATTGATATCTCTGTCAAGTTTTGGGCTTCACCTGTCCTTCTCACTACCTGAAGGTGAAGGGGAGGCTCTTATTGTGGTTGAAAAGATGAAGCTAAGTTAACAAGGTGCGTTTTTTTTTATCCAAAGAATATTGCGAATGTCTTATCATACATTTAAATCTCGTGATTCTTGCTTTGAGCATAACTTCATTCTTCACGTCACATATTCCGTGATGATTCCTCAGTTAGTTTTTCTAACGTCGTACGCAATTGAACCCAAGTATTATCGACTTTTGCTTTGCAAATCTCAACCCTTTCGCCTACAGTTGTTGTAAACTGTTACCGAAACTTCGATCCAGCAACATGTGGTTGCTGATATCAGAAATCGGGTGGAGAGTCTGCGTAAGAAGTTCAATTGATACTACACCACTTAATGAGACAATTCGTAACATGATAGAGCCTTCAACCCATATGCAAGTCTTGCATGAACGTTACTCAGGCTGCAGGGAATGGAAACACAGCCACCCCGCGGAAACCTTCCGGGGTCTTCGCTCGAATCCCGAAGACAACATTGTCCTTGCTCAAGTCTAATGTGGCTTGGTTAACCAACCCAACGTCCACAACATCTGTCCAGAATGGCGCAGCTGTTGCTCTCCAAACTATTTCGTAACTACCCACACCTTCTTCACCGCCAGCAGGTGGATCCCAGTAGAACGTGCTGTCATTCCCAAGTGTAGTTGTGTTCACTCTCACGTTCTGTGGCACGCCGGGTGAATTCGCTAAACTCCACAAGATTGCGCCGTTGACCTTTCCGACCCGAGAGATGTACTCATAATCACAAAACTCGGGGAGATCGCCATATTGCTTCCCGTCTTGAACTCTGACATCCTGATGCTGGTGGGCATAGTCCTCATGTGGCTCCGTGAAGCGATTAGCAGCATAACCAGCCTCCAGAAAGGGGCGGTGGTCTCCACCTCGCAAATATCTGTCCAGCCGATGGATGACGTTCACATTCATATCCGTAGCGTCGTTTTGGGCCACCTCTTTCGCGAATCTCGCGAGGTTGCGTGCCGGTGTATCACTCTCACCACCGACTTGGAGACGCCTCTCCCGCACCGTGGAATTCTCAACATTGAGACCTGGCAAGCCTTGAGCAAATAGGCGGATGGTATGTGCGTCCACGGTGCCGTCGTCACCCTTGGGCGATCCCACGATGTCGTTGGTGAACATGCCCTCGACGTTAACACGTGGGGTGGCGTTGGCGTACGTCTGCGCAAGGTATTGCGCTCCCAAGAGACCCTGCTCCTCGCCAGCGACAGCCACAAAAGCGATTGAAGCTTTTGGCAGAGGATACTTGGGCTGGGATATGACGCGAGCGAGCTCCAGTGAGATGGCGACACCAGAGGCGTCATCGTCAGCTCCAGGGGCGTCACCCTCATAGTCTAGAGGATCGGAGTTTCTCGAGTCATAGTGACCTGAGACGACATATAATCTTTCTGGCTTCTCTGTACCATGGAGTGTTGCCACAACATTGCTGATCCGAACTGGAAACAGTATCCGGTTGCCATCTGGCTGTTGAATGTACGATACGATCTCAACAGTCAGCCGCCCTTCGCTCGCATCAGCAATTCGCTGAAACTCAGAGTAAAGCCAGTCTCGGGCGGCGCCAATCCCTCTAGTCGTACTATTCTGGGTTGAGAGTGTATGCCTAGTTTCATAGGAAACAAGCTTCAAGATGGTTGCTTCAATGTTTGAAGGGTCAACCTCGGCAAGGATAGATTTAAGGTCTTGGGAGGGTTCTTGGGGGACATTCTTCTCCCCGATTGTGTTAGGAGGCCATTCGGTAGCAGCACAGCTAAACAGGTCTTGAGATGACCGGATACTCAAGATCTCTGCAGGGTTACGCGACACAGAGAACGCAGCAGCAGCAGCAATCGCCGCCCTAAGAAGAACAAAAACAGCCCGCATATTTACAAATGCTACCGATAATTCCAGATTTCAGCCGCCATCGAGTTGCTATTTGGTGACTTTTATGTTCTCTCTGCGGGGTTTACAAGGAGCACCTTACCGTTGCATTCTGACGCCATAGCTAACTCGTCAATTACCCGGTATCGGCAACGAGGCATATCAACTGCCATATTAGGCAAGTGGTTATGAGAGTTTTGTTCTCATCTCAGGCTAGTCTTCTCTTCAATGAGTTTAACCCTGGTTAACAAGTCTTGGTAAAGCGGGGTTAACAGTACGATCAAGGGTATCATAGAGCTTCTGAATCATGTCAATGGTTCGCATGCTTGCGTTATATCCACCGCTCTATCTCTAGCCAATTGAGCTGACCCGTAGTTCAGGGAAGACATAGTTAACCCTGGCTCGATGCACGGAAACCTCTGACATCATATACACCCCTATTGTAAGTGATAAGCTTCTCTATAGATCAACTCCTGTTATGACTTGCCTAGCGACATAGGTGTTAGTTAGGCTCATGTTCTTCTAGCGCTACTAAACATGGCACTTTGAAGGGGCGCGGCGTTTTGGAAATGTTAATTTTCTTCAAACATCTCCTGCCCAAACGCCAAAGGAAGCGAGATACACGTCCTCATTGAGATTGGATCATTGAAATCTGCCTCACCGATATATAATAAATTTATACCACGGGGAGGCGTTTGAGAGAAACTGATTAGACCGGTAGGGTAATGTATCCGATTTTCAGGTGCTGAGATAGCCAAAGCGGTTCCGACAAGCACTATGGAAATCAAGTGGTCTAGCCACTGATGCAAAAACCGTGACTTGTAAGTTAGAAGACAAGCCCAATGGAAATGTCAGTAGGTTACTCTAACCTGACATTGTGGTTCGTGTGAGGCATTCGGGTTCAGTGGCTGGAACAAGCAATATCATGGCAAACACGACCATTTTACAAGGAGTGGCCATTGATGGGTTGCAAGTTTGTTTGTCTTTCTTTCACTAAAGCGTATCGAGTGAGTAGTTATATATTGTAGGTTGGCCGCAAAGGGGACAATCTTCATGCATATGTATGGTGATTTGGAGCCGCCACCTGACATGTCCTTTGCAAAATTGAGTGCTGAGTATGGGTACCAGACGATATTGTCCAAAGTCACCTCGGCCGGTCTGGCTGAAAGGCCAAGACCCCATTCGATTTAGGACTTCAACAGTAATTAACTGGAGAAAACAGAAACAAAATCAAGCAAAATCACGACAAAATAAGAATAAGCATACTTATCTAAAGTAGCGCTAGTTTACGTTGTTGGGACACATGGGGAAGACGCGGCATGGACTTCCTTGGCCCACTGGACCTCCGCGGCATGTTCCGGACACCCCATGCCACTCCGAGAATCAACGGACATTCATCATTTGTTTTTCTTTTTGAGTCATGGGAAACCTACAAAGCCATTTTTTTGCCTTCTCATACAAACCTCCCCGCGCTGTCGAGCCATTAACCCCAGATTGTTCTATTGCGTGGGCAAGGATTGCACTTTCTGACAAGCTAGGACCCAGCTATCTCTTGAATACTTGGTTAGTTTCACGGATAAGGTACCAAATACATCCATGACTGTGCTTAAATGAAGATTCATGCTCCGAAAATAGGCATTAAACAAGATATATTTATTACTATGGTTCGAAAGCGGACTACCCTCAGGTTACAAGTAAGGTAGACTTGTTAGAAAAACCCAGCACGCGAGCCCTCGAGAATGCCTTGGTAGAAGATGTTCGCCATCTTCTGGAACCCAGCATCGTTGGGATGTGTGTCATCGGACATTTCGTTCGACTGAGGACCGTTGGAGCCATGCATGTCTACAAGGACAATCTTTCTCCCCTGGCTCCTCAGGGTATTAGCCAGGTTGGTAAATTGGGTGTTGATTGTCCGGACACGGCTATCGACGTCTGCATTGCGGTTGATCACCAAGGTGGAAAGAATAATAGTCGAGTCGGGAGTAATGGCCCAGAGGTAGTTGAAAAGGTCGTTCATGCGAGCACCCGCGTTTCCGATGTCGTAATTTTGCGAGGCATCGTTTGTACCAAGGTTGATGAGGTAGAGATGGGGGCGGTAAATGGGCACGTCCACGACAGCCTTGTCGTGGTGAACTTGCTCGATGCGAAGGCCGGGGAAGCCCTCGTTATCGGGATCAACCATATTTCCGCCACGCTGGCTGCCGACCATGTCGATGGACCACCCGTTCGACGCGAGAGTGTTGAGAAGGGGGCCACGGTAGCCGTTTCCAGTGCTGGAGCCGACACCAAAGGTGATGGAAGCACCGAGAGGCATGATGTGGAAGACACCTCCTTGGGCTACTTTGGTCAGTACATATGTAACATGTTGCCCGGAGGCCGAGAGAATGAGGGGATTAATCACCATTAGCAAGTTGGGCAAGGCCTAGGGCAGCCAAGGCGCCAAGTGTTTTCAGAACTCCGACCATGATGTCAAACTTCGAGGCTTCGATTAGGTTGAGTAAGTAAAGAGATCGACAACGATTTACTTCAACGAGAATAAAGTTGGGACGAAGACGAGACATTCACTGGCTTATATCTGCCGAGCTAGGCATGAATCTACCGTGCCGCCGTCAAATGCTGGCGGGTTTCGCCGGGGGGCACATAAGCTTACTTACTGGTAAGGGGAGGTGACGTTTCATCAGCCTCCTAAAAAAGCAACCTTGCCACCGAACTGGCACTCTAATTGACTAGCACGAGGCCCAGATTAGAAAGAAGTTGAGGCTCGCATCGCTTTACGCCCCGCACGGCAGACACGGCACTCCATACTTCATTTCCGGTTAATTTAACAGCTCTTTGGCCTTCCTCTTCCATTGCCGCCTTGCAGGCCGCGCGGTTAATGGGGTCAGCTGGCCGCGATTGCTGCAAAGAAACGTTGCTTCCAAATACTCTTGCATCGCTCTATAAACAGTCAAAGGTATGGAATGTAAGAGATAATAGATGTCTTCTTCAACGTTCTGTTAGGCTGAAGTCGAAACAGTCAGATCGGTCAGGGATCACTTGGAATATTGTTGTTTGACGAGACATGTCTGTCTGATTTTCGCGCATAATCTTAAACCATGATAAGATATGGTAGTTCGTGACTGTGAATTGTTTCAGCATACTTATCATGGCATCGGAAGTCTTAGTTGGGAGTGACAATGCGTTGACACTTGGTATGAGGCGTTGCTTTCTAATTCATTGAGACCACTTGAAATTACGGGAGAAACTGCCATCTTGTAACTCTCGGCTAGTCCGAAAGGGATTACGCAATAAGAAAGAGCTTACTTTACACCTTGGACGGTGCATTCAAGTAGAAATATACCCGGAAATAGTAAAATCCTGCGCCTTACCACGGTGTACCGGCCCGATTGAGCCCTGGGAACAATCCAGCTAATCTTCTCACAATGATGGACCTGCATTACAGTTTATACGCCGTAGAACTGCCCAAGGCCCGGAATATTTTACTGGATATCTAACCCAAAAAGATCAAAAGGACGCTGTTAGACCATTACAATGATCCCTCCCGTGCTGGCCATGAACGCTCACAGCTAGCAAAATCATTGATAGGATTGGGAGATTACCAAAGAGCCTTGGAAGGTTTTCAGGAGGTTGTGGACTTTCAGAAGACAATGCTTGCCGGAGATCATGATGACACGCTTGATACGATGGCTGGGTTAGGGGAAGCGCTTTCTAAGTTATCTCGGTATGGTGAGCAACAAAAAAGTCTTTACGAGGATTTGGATCGTCAGAGAACAAGATTTGGAGGCGAAGATGAGAGAACGCTGCACACACTCAACCGTGTGATGTTGTAAGCCAAGACAAATGAAGGAGCAGAAGCACTGGTAGAGAACAAAACAGAAACACGTTGAGGGGAACGTCTTGAAGCAATTGGGGTTTAATAACCTAAGTGTGGCCTTTGGTGGCCAAAGTCAGTACTTCAAACGACCGGAGGGAGAGAAGCTCCTAGTATACTTTGGAAACGATGGCCCGAGGGAACTCGAAAGGATGGAGAAGCTCGTCCATAGGTAGTAGACGTTTATTTATAAGAATCAAACAATCACGATCTCTTCTCTCCGATCTTGATCTTTCGCAAAGTCTGCTTGATATCATTACCAACCATAATAAACCTTAACACATTTAGGCAAGTTTTCTCTTCGCTCGAAGACAATATTACGTGGACAAATATCGACATCTTTGGCTACCTTCTCTTTTTCGTAGAACTCAACGGCATTCATGATACTATATCTGATAGAAGTATAGAAATGGAGAATGAATGGCCCGTTCAAATAACCTCTACTTTACAGCGCCCACTTTGGTCCAGCAACCAAACCGCGATCGATCAGCCGGTTACGATATGTATACAACACGACTAGCACACCTGTGAGAATAGCACCCAGAAGCAGCAATGCGCCGTTCGTCCAGTGCCCCGTTGGATATCCTATTTTCGCCTCGGAGCTTTTGTAGATCCAGACACCGGCAATCTGGCCTGGGGAACCGAAGGAGATGTTGAGCGCCAGCGCCAGGCCCTGAGCAGATGTGGAGCGCAGGTTGGCCGACAGCCAACCCAGGAGGATGGGAATCGTTGCAAAGGTGCCGCAGCAGGCGATTATCAGGCTGGCATAGCGGCCGCGATATTCGGTCGGTGGGAGAGCGGCTGAGGCGATGAAGCCGGCGGCACCCATGAGCATTAGACCGACGGTTGTGAGGGCGCGCTTGTTATATTTGTCACAGTAGAAAGAAAGCGCAATGGTGACTACGAAAGCGGCAGCATCTGCGTTTGGTCAATGAGTGCCATTGTGATCATAAGGGCGAAAAGTGAAAAGGAGGAGCTCACATGGTGGAACGGTCATGAGCTGGGCCTCGAGTGAGTCGTAGCCAAGTCCCTTTGTGATGGATGGTGCAAACAGAGACAATGAAGAGAATGGACAAGACTTTGAGAAGTAGACAATGTAGTGCAAGTATAGCCTCCAGTCGAGCAGTACCGCCTTGGCATCCTCCCATTTCATATTCCCGGCACTGCCTTTGGAACCATTGAATTCCATGCGAATGGCGGCCAGCTCGCGCTCTTCGGTATTGAGAAACCGGGCGCTTTCCGGGTAGTCGGGAAGGAAGAAGAAAATGAAGATCCCAAAAAGGACGGACGGGGCGCCTTCGAGAATGAAAACTGTACACCACTTGCGGTTAGCCAAGAAAGATCGTAGCTGAGATCGGCAAGGGAGTGAAAATGTTACTTACGCCACCGCCAGGCTTCAATCCCAGATACGCCTTCCATCCTCGCGATGCCATATGCAACCAGCCCGCCGAAAGCACCAGCTAGAGTTGCCGTGGAGTATATGAAGGCTAGGCGAAGAGACCGTTCGTTGGCTCGGTACCAGAACGAAATATAGTAAGCTAGGCCAGGAGCTAGGCCAGCCTCGAAGATGCCCAAGATAAATCGGGCGGTTGTGAGACCAGCGAGTCTTTGACAGCGCCCAAGCACATGGAGATTGCACCCCAACTACAGAGCAGGAAAGCAAACCATTTAGAAGGCCCCATCTTCTTGAGAAAGAAGTTAGAAGGGGCTTCGAAGATGGTATACGCGATTAGGAACACCATCAGTGCAATGGAATACTGGTTGTTGTCCATTCCTGTGGTGGTCATCAAGTCTTTTCCTTCTTCCGAGTTCATAACCTTTGCGTTGCCAATGTTCGATCGATCGAGGTAGGCGAGGAGATACATTGCAGAGCAAATTGGTATTATACGTATGTCCTGCTTCCAAAGAAGAGCTTTGTTGGCCGCGGAGTCTTCCTGGTTGGCAAACCCATCGGCTACGGGATTCTCGTCATGGGCATCGGGCTGGTTTTTTTTCACATGGTTAGTGGAACACTCGTAAAACAAAGTGTGGATAAGTCAACAACTAACATGCCACTTACTTTCCCGACTATGGAGGGACTTGCTGATTGGAGCTCATTGTGTGTTGATGGATAGCCCTTTTCTGCTTCGGATTCGACAGCCATGGTTGCTCTGGAAATGGGGACAAAGTGTGATCAATAATAAAGTTAGATTCTCTTCTGATGAAGGTAGAAAGAAGCCTGATGATGAATTAGACTTGTAGTAGAAAGCGGCCTCTTGTCTTTTAAATATTCCATTAGGATGAAGAGACAGTAAGTACATTTATATTCACCCATGGGGTTTGGGGGCGGGGGTGGAATCTGGGGTCGTGGTTCGCAAACATATGGGACAGTTTGGAGAAGCATGTGCCATCAGGGAACAGTCTCCAGGAAGGAAGTCAGCCGGCCATATCTCATTGGCCCGGACACCTGGCGAGGTAATGGAGTACTCGACGCTTGGTGGTCGGAAGTGGTCCAACTCCGCAACTTAACTCGTTCATGTGGGGATACTGACTCGATAGTCAATACTAACAGAGTTTTTGCTCCCCCTATGCCAGGAATGATTTGCGGGGAAACAGCCCCCGCATCGGACGATGTGCGAGCTGACCTCGCTAGTTGTCCGTTGCCCTGGGAGTAAGTAGTGATGGCCCAGCAACCCGTCCTTTCGCACAAGTCCCGAGTGCAACAATTTCTGTCACAAATCCGAGACCCCGAGTCAGCGATGAGGCCAATGATGCCGGTATCCGGGTCCGCGGAAGGGAGTCCCACCCTAGGGGCAGAAGTGTCTTATCGTGTATTCGCTTGTGAACGGTGTTCGCGACGAAAGCAGCGGTGTGATCGCGTCTTGCCCATCTGTACACCATGCCGAAGAGCGGGCTGTCCATGTGCCACATCTGAGAGGGAAAAGGGGATAGTTCAGCTGAACAAGACCGAGATTGCTCGCAAGGGCTATGTCACGACACTGCTTGAACGAATCGCCTCCTTGGAGCAGCAGTTGAGTACGTCCCGTACAACAATAGGCGAGACATCGGACAACGGGCGAAATGCGCATCATTGCCCTCATTCAGGATCGCCAATAGAAAATGCAGACGTCAATATGGAGTCCCTCTCCCTGAGTGCCATGGCCGAGCCAATCGGCCGGGCGGGCGAGTTCCTGAAGCAGCTTTCCATGCCTCGCGTTATTGCCAGCGTCACTGAGACATATGGCGGGAACCCCGAGGCTACCTCACGGGTGGACTCGCTCTGGGATGGCATATCCAAGTATATCCGGCATCCATCGGGCCAGATGCATCGTTTACACCTCCAACCAGCCGAGGCGAACCAGTTTCTGGAGCAATATCTCGACATCGTCGACTTCCGCTTCCCCCGGTTACCACTCGCTAAAGTCAAGTCTGGACTCGATGCCATTACATCTGAGGACGAGTCAGCCTATAGTACGATTCTCCAAAAGGATCCCGCACTCATATTCATGGCGTATATGGTCATGGCCATTGTGCCCCTAGTCAGTGACAAGTATCCCATCTCACAGGGATCTTTCGTGTCGATACAGCTGCTAGGAAAGTGTCTCAAGGTGTTAGACCGCGTTTTCCGCCAGGAAGACGGCGTAGACATCATCCAGTGCCTCCAGCTCCTTGTGGTTTTCTCCATACACTGCTCAGCAGCTGGCTCTTCGTGGCATCTGATCGGCTTTGCCATAAATAAATGTATAAGTCTCGGGTATCATACAGAAACATCTCCCTCAAACTCGGCGATTTCATTGGGGGAGCGAGAGCAGCGCCGTTGGGCATTCTGGTCTTGTTTTTTGCTTGACCGTCTGATCTGTGCTGCTCTAGGCCGTCCCTTTGCAATACAGAACGAGTGTGTGACCGTTGCTCTACCAGGAGAAGGCTCAGCCGCTAGTTCCTGTTTAGAACCAAAAGATGTCTACCATATTCACTTGTTTAGATATGCTAGGCTACTGTCTTCCATCATCACTAGTAGTCCTGTTGAAAGATTTGACGGCGCCTTGAGTCGGATCCTCCAATGGCGGATGGCAACACCCCCTAATATCGGGGCCCCAACGCGCGAGCCATACCTTTACCAGACATCCTTGTATCATACCCTGATACTACGCACAGGCATCCATGAAGTCCTTCGCGGGTACAAGATTTCGGAGGCTGAAGATGGAGTTACCACTGTCACACATGAGAGAGCAAGGCTGAGAACAACTACCTCTGAGAACAGCACGAGAGTTCCCGAGGAAGACATGATCCTCGATATCAAGCTGTTCGATATTTGCTCAGCTGTAGCGTTAAGTCTTGATAGAAACCGTATGACCGGGCGTCATTACCTATCTCACCTTACAGGCTACAGCGCGTTTTCGATGGGTTTGGCCACGATATATCATGAGCTCGTCAGGCGACGCGGAGCTTTAGACCCTAGCCGTGGTAGGTCAATCGAGAATGGGGGTGAAATTCTTGATCTTTTGACAGGAACCCCATCGGGATGGAGCCTAGTTGGCGAAGATCCGATGAAGAGAAGTCTTAAGGCGAGTGAGATTCTGAACATGGCGTCGTCGAAACTTGAAATTGTGGCGCGGCAATTCCCACGAATGCACGAGTACAAGCAGACCCTTGATACTATCCGTTCGGTCGTATTTTCTGGTCACACGAGTATGATAGCAGATACAGAGAACCTCAAGAGGGCTGTCACGGACATCAATCCTACGCATCTTAGGCATCTTGGACTTGTCATCTGGCATTGTCACGTAGTCGGAAGACAGTGAAAATTAAATCCAGCCTCATCAATTAATGTGCAACGTGTAAACTATCTAAAACAAAAAGCCACTGTTATCGTTGACACAAGGCGGCAACGGCTTCGGCACATTTTTTGCCTCCTCCAGCCAAGATTCCCGAATCTTGTTGACAGAGAATAAACCCGGCCGACAATGTGTTGATCGCCCAGCTCTGAAGCTCAGGTGCGTCATATATGCCCGCAAGCCCGAAAACCTTTCCGTGCTTCTGGCAGGCGGCGCTCACAGCCGCCAGTGCTGAGCGGAATGCTTCATCCTGGAACTGGCCCGCGCATCCCAGCTCGATTGACAGGTCATTAGAGCCAATCAGCAGAACCTCAACACCAGTCACAGCGGCAATTTCGTCTATCTTCTCAACACTCTCTTTGGTTTCGATCATCAATATCACCGACGACCCTTGGGCATTCGTTTCGCTGATCACCCTGGAAGTGGGGGTGGGCTTAAGAGAGAAGAGAGGTAGTTGGCCCGTCATCGAGCGGCAACCTTGTGGCGGGTATTTGCATATTTGGACAGCCGCTTCAGCGTCACCTGAATAATATTGTTCATTGGTTATGGTTTCTCCTTGTTCATGGTGCTATTGCTTACCTTTGTTGTGGATGTGGGGGAAAACAACGCCCATTGCACCTCCATCAAGAATGCGCTGGACAAACCCATTACCACACTGATATGGCACTCGAACAAATGGTGTGATTCCAATCTGTAGGGCAGCTGCACAGAGCTGATTAACCTCGTTGATCGACAGGGAAGAGTGCTCTATTTCAATGAATAGGGCGTCAAAGCCGCTATTTTGTGCTAGCTGGACTATGGCTGGGTTGGTTACTAGCCGTATACCAAACACCTGTCTCATTGCGGAATCAGTATCATGTTGTGGTACTACTGGTCATTAACTCAGTTTCGCTGTACGAACCTTACACACACCACCCCGAGCTACCAAGGTTTGTAAACTGTTGTTGATGATTTGAGTAGTCATGATGAAGATCTATAACTTATCTAACACAAACTCCCAGGTGTAAGCATCTTCGTAATTCCACTCTGACTTTATATCCGGACAGAAGGTCGAACGACGAGGTAGATACATCAGACCCGGTTCATGCTATCTCCCCCTTGTTCATTGTCCGACTCCAGGACCCCGCCGCTTTCTCGCGGATCATCCGTCCACTTTTTTAGTACGTCGGGCAGTTCGCGAGGCTATTCTCGCGGCTCGTCCGAAAGACGCTGGCTCCACCAGAGACTGTTTAGGCACATCTCTCAGTAGTGATGTGCGGCCCCCTTGACTGAGCACCGGCTAAGCATAATAACACATGAAACTAGGGGTAGTAATGTTAATATTCCCCTCGGTAATAAACGCAACATTCAGGCCGCTGGTCGGTAGAGGCCACTCCCCTGTCCGTTCTATAAAACGTCACATATGGAAACCACATCTTGAAGTTCCAGTTGATCGCTATGTACCTATAGCGTTGCTCTTTTTCAGACATTCTCAGTTGCTATCGTATCTACCTTGCAATGGCACCTTTCCTCTCCAACACCGAGGTAGAGGTATCCAATCCTAGTTCTGCCAAACCAAGGCTTTACATCCTAAGTGATTTTCACCCAGATGCGGTGAAATACGCGCAATCCCTCTTTGATTGCGTCTTGTTCGAGGACCCCAGGGGTGCCCACTGGCGTTCCGATGCGACCGCCATCCTCATCAAGGATTACTATATCACGGAGAAAGACCTTATTGCCGCTCCACAGCTAAAGGTTGTTGGGAAGCAAGGTGTCGGACTTGACAAAGTCGACGTCGATGCTTGCAAAAAGCACGGCGTCGAGGTCTTTAACACTCCGGGCGTCAATGCCGGAGCTGTGGCCGAGATGACTATGTGTCTTGGGTTTTCCGTTGCTCGGCAAGTCCCGCAGCTGTGTTTGAGGCAGAGAGTGGAAGGCGAGGTGATCAGAAAGGAGACTGTCAACGGCTTGCTGCTTTCGGGCAAGACCATTGGCGTTATCGGCATGGGGAATATCGGCCAGGCCGTTGCCCGCATGTTTTATGGTGGCCTTGGATGTCCGATCGTTACGTATGACCCGTATCATCCTGGGGGCTCTGGGCCGTGGGACCATATCCCACATACGCGGGTTGACGTTCTGGATCAGCTGCTACAGCGATCAGATGTGGTCACAATTCATGTTCCATTGACACCTTCAACCAAAGGGTTGATCTCGTACCCGCAGCTACAGAAGATGAAGCGATCAGCTGTTCTGCTAAATACAGCTAGGGGTGGAATCGTTGATGAAGATGACCTGGCCAGAGGCTTAGAGGAAGGTCTAATATGGGGAGCCGGATTTGATTGTCATGTTGAAGAGCCTCCGACTAAGAAGACGTATGAAAGACTCTGGTCACACCCCCAGTTTGTGGGAACACCACACATTGCTGCCGCCACAGATGAAACGCAGATCGCTACCATCAATGCAGCCACGGATAAGGTTTACAAGTTCCTAGTTAGATGAGTTTGTATATATTGAACAAATAAGTAGAATACAACATGGTAGCCCTTCTCAAGATTCAAATGTGACCCCCCAAGGGTGCAGAGGGAGATTCTTCCCACATGGGAATCATATCCCACAGATATTCCGATATCCCCGAGCCGAAGTCTTCCATCCCAGCAACTGAGGAAAAAGGCCAGCCTCCTTCTTGGAACATCTGCCCGCCCAGGTTATCAACTGCGCCCGCGTCGACTGTTAACGGGTCTAGAGCAATGCCCCCCACGGATAAGTCGGTGTCGATGCCCGGAGGGCCCTCGACTGCTGCCGACTGTATCATACCGGGCCCATTTGCACCCAACATGTTTTCAGTTTGAGGGCTCCCATGCGTTGAAGGCAGTCGGAATGGCAATTGTGTCGCATTCAGGTGGTCCTGACGTTCGTTGGCCTCCGGTCGGATGCCCCCGGCTGACACGTCAACAACAGCGCTCACGTTGCCAATCTCGCGTCTAAGTGCATCCGATAGTCTAGCATACGTTGTCACATCAGGCATATGGCTGGCAAACCATGACAGTGCCTCGCCCGAGATGTGAAGAGACTGTATAGCGTCATCGGTGGTGAGTCGGGGCCCGTCATCATCCTCCAAGTCCGCAAACCATCTTTCCGCATCTATTGTTGATGAAGGCGGATTTGGGGCTTCGTTGGACCTTTCAGACCTTTTCTTGATGACCAGAAGTGTGACCAGACTTGCTAAGAAGACTATATGAGCGTATTGTCTCGTACAGGTAATGATATTGTCTTTGCGCAGTCTCTCAAACGACATTATGATGGAATAGGCCGATTGGAGGCAAGCATCTGAAAGGCTGGTAGGGGGTTCGCTCCCAGGCAATAGGCGATTCAGTGTCGCTCTAAGTAGGGAAAGACGGGCTTCCTGAAAACACAAGTCAAAATATTCCGGGGTCTCAAAGACACAGGAAGGCTGTGTGATCACAGGTGCATCGGCTCGCCACTCCCGTAGCTGGAGTGCGAAACTGCGGACGCGGAGGAATAAGTCGCTAGATACACCTTTCTGTATACTACCTCGGGGAGGAGATTCATGAGATGAGAGGTGGGTCTTGCTTTGCATGTAGCAGTGTATCCGGGACGTTATCTTGCCTAGAGTGACCAATGAGTTAAAAACTGCTGGGATAGATTCCTGTCGGATTGATGAAGAGGAATCACTCGGCAGCTCAGCAGTGATCGAATAGTCGTCGATCGCAAAGGGCCGCCCGAGAGTTGAAGAAGAGAAGGTGTCCAAAAGATAAGTCTCCCAAAACAATATACGACACCGATTAGGATCCAGGCCTGCAGTTCTTTTGTTTCCGGTAGGAGTCTGATGTAGGCCTAGTTCAATTGCGATTCTAACGCAAAGTCTCCCAAGCTCCCAAACGGAGCAACCTTGAGAGACTATATTAGTAATTGTCATGAGATTGAGAAGTGATAGACCTACCAATATTGTAATATACCCCAAAACGAGCTATTAACAGAAAACATTCTAGGTCGTCCACAGAGTCGAATGAGGAATCAAGTGGAGGGCACGCCTCGAGGGCTGCGGTGAAGAAGCCAAATGGATGAATGTTACTTCTGCCATCACGGAAGAGACCAATACTTCCGATGGCTAAAACCATGTTCAATTTGAATACTTTGTGGGTTTCTGCTCTCGGAGCACTCTCTGGAGACGACAGTAGAAGATTCAGTGTTGACAAGATTTCCTCCTCATCGAGGAAGGGATGAGCAATGTGGAATTGATGAAAGCTGGACCTTTATGAGCGCCTGGCCATCAAGAGAAAACTTAGTTTTTCGATTGCACTTACTACTCCCCGATGGCCTGAGACGCGAGACTCATGGGGGGGAGGGGATGAGGGTAGTGATAGGGAATTGACGATGGTTGAAAATGCGGGTTTAGGGCCCGATTGAATGTAAATTGGGGACGGGATCGGATTCCTATGGTCCTACGTGATATTAGATGGCGAACTAAGGCTTCGCAACCCCCTGCGACATTTGTAGTTACCTCAGTATTCCATCCGCGGTGCCAGGATTGGCGGAGTGGGCACGTGAGATCTGGTCTTCCAGTTGTTTCAGCCTCTCCTCCAGATCGTGAACTTCACTATACATAGTCAGTCGGACCACAATTAGATGTCACATGGACGTCTGATACTACCTCCGGGAATATTCGCGAGTTGTCGACCAGTCTGCTACAATGCATGGCACATCGGCCCTCACACAACCGGAACATGACGGGTACTTTCCGTCACACTTTCACGGGTGTCAGAATGATGCATTTCATGTGTATAGTTCAGTTACTATGGTGCATCATACCTTGACTTTTCTACCGCGACATCTCTTACAGGAAATTTCCCGGCTGGACTGCTCGACGCTGCTCTGCTCGACGCCACGAGCTCGTTTGCGACTCTTGGGAGACGCATGATACTCGGGTAAAGAGGATACTGACGGACTGCCACACATCGTTCGTAAGCAGTACCATAGGTGAGATGGGGCAAGGGGTGGAGTAAAAGGAGGAGGGACTCTTCGAAGGAAAGTGAATGACCGGACCAGGGCTTTTATTAGCGGACAGACAGCTGCGGGGTAGAAAATACCCTAGAGTCAGCTAGTTATCATTCCGCCCTTCCTGCTACGGTTCGCCGGCCTTCAGAATATGCCTCTTTAGAACAAACAGCCTCGCGGAACGAGTATAACAAATACGCATATAGACCGTAAAAGCATTGTTGTGTCGCGTTTATTCAGAAACATCTTTGACATTTGGTTCAACCTTATTACACCATGGCACGATTAACTAACCCCTTCATTGTCAGGTATTTGCAAATCAGGTTGTATTTTGTTCCTCGTGTAAGAGGTTAGAGGTGTTAACAGGAAACTGGTATTATAATCTATTAAATATAAAGCTTATGATTAAAATAGTTTACTCAGTAATCTATTATATGTTCTTCTTCTGCTGTACTTCTATGGAATAATAAATACTCTAATAAATTTATATTCTATTACCTCTTCCTTCGTTCCTTTGTATTAGTATTGCTGCAGGCTACCCTACTTGTTTTTCCAGTTAAGTGTATCCTACTATAATGACCCAGCTTTAGGCCCAAGGAACACCGGCCTACTCTAATCCACTAACCTCCATACCAGGAGAGCATTGGTATTCATTTCATCCTCAGGCACGCGCCTGAGAGTGTCCTATCCAAACTTGAATAAAGTCCAACTGTTCTGGCTGACGGGATACTGGTATTCACTGGGTTGGATTGCTGAAGTATTTGGCTTAGGGTAAGACGAGTGGATGAATGGAGCTGTGTGAGTGGCAGCCAGGTCAAAGAGATGGCATTAATAGTCATCTAATGAGTGGCTCATCCCGGCGGGAAGTGAGTTACAAGTATGAAGGCAAAAGTAAGCTCTGCTAGCCTTGGGCTATAGCTATATAGAAGTAAGACTCCGTAAACCTTCACACCGATTGCTCACTTACTGTCGGGACGAACTGCTCGTCAGATGACTATTAATACTGCCCTCTTTCACATAGCTGCCACACAAACAGTAGGATAGTGTATAAGGACTGGAGTGCTCAACGACACGCGTTTGAGGAGTTTAGGGTTGCTTGGTCATGAGCTGTTAGATTGTTACATCCTCTTATTGGTCCTATGTTGTAGCATAGTCTCATACCGTGATCGGTACGATGTGTTGGTGAATTGGCGTTGGATTGGGTTTAACTATGAGAGTCTCAGGATCTATCATCTTCAAGCATGGTAGGGGAGCTGATGTATTGGCGATACTGAATCGGAGACAAGTTTCATCATGTTGTGGCTGCAAAGTGATGTTACATAGTTACTTCTTGATCGAATCCAGCATTTCAACTCAGCGTAATACGATTAAGTTTCTTCAAGTCGATATCGAGTAATGGCTGGACTATACTGCGTCGACTGTCTTCAACGGCAATCGTATGTCTGTGCAGCAGCGCTCAATCAGTTTTGCTTAAGAGCGCATCTTGCTCTCACGTTAATAGGAACGACGCATACTTGGGGCTGATTTATACTTGGGGCTGATTTTTGGGCACAGAACTGACCGACTGTCTGAGTGCTGATCACGTCCGCTTGCTTATCAGAGAATTTCTCTGAAGGGGTAGTCCGGACGAGCCGCTCCAAGTGGCGTGGAGGTTGCGAGATTGCTTTAATCAGCAATCTCTTACCAAAACAGGTTACGGGTTGCGAGCAAGCATCAATTTCCACTAGCAATCTCCCAAGAGGCGACGCTTGTGTCAGGCTTCGCGACGGCGGCGTTTTAGCTCCATTTTGTGCTTGGGGATTGTGAGGAATATGTAGAAGTAGAAATGCAAGAAGAGGGATTTTTTATCCGAGGTGGAGGCCTAAGAAGACTCGCTAGGGTGATTTGGGGCAACAGGAGCTGAACAGGAGTGGAGATGTTCACTTCGGTTTGCTTGGCCTGGCCCGGTGTTATGTGTGGGCTTTGGTCGATCAGGGCAATCAACATTTTGGGTTTGAGATTCTACATTACGGACGTTGCAGGTATATTTATGCAACCGATGATTGATCTGCCGTGGCCATAAATCTTCCAAGAGGGGAGGGCCAGACACACTTTGGTAGAATTCGGGTTCAAGGGCACTGCTCCGTGAGCCTCCGGAGAGGAAAGGAGATGTGCCTGTTTCAAGATTAAGCTGATTGGCCGTAGCTAAGCTACTTGGCGAGGGTGGATCGATTCTGATCCTTCAATGTTGCTGGCCATTGAGCACGACGCGGCCCCTGCGCATAATTCCTCGTACAGTGTACTGGCGGCAAACTCGTGTCCTGTACCAATGAAACCCGCTGACCCGTAGAGAGCATACGTAGTAGATGCCCACGTACCCGGTATCAATCTTGTCTCTAGAGCCACTTGTTACGCATCCAGATCGTGTTCCGGGGACAGTGGATATGGATATAGCACGGATGAGCAAGTGGACGGGACGGATTCACTACCAACCGTTCACTGACTCCGATTTTCTGGCTTTGGGGGCTGTTTTCCTCTCTATTAGGAAACAGCCGCAGCCGCCCAACGTGCATTTGAACACGGGTATGATCTCCTCTCGTGGTTTTCTCAACTGCAAAACAGAGGGACAATGCTAAACAATGGGAGCCTACCAGTCCACGTATCTCACATACATTAATTAACGACAGTTGACTCGCATGAGTTGCCCATGTAGATGTTAGGTAAGTCCTTCAGCCCAACCGGTAGACAAGCGCGGCTGAGCGCAAGCTAAACAGGGGTAACCGGATCCTGCGCAGTTTTGCGCCCGAAATAGCTCAACAATTCCCGGTTAGGCGAGGTGAGCTGGCTCCGTTTGGGGCCTGTTCTCCGTTGTGCGAGCCAGGCCAGGAATTCTTGACTGTGGGTTGGGCGGTTAATTAATATATTCTTCTGTCAGCTCGGCTGCTTCATGCCTCCCACCTCTCCAGCTCTCCCCGAGGCTTCTTATATTATTCTAGCGCGATCTGTTTTCTTCTCGGCGTCTAATTGTTTTGGCCGTATGTAAAGTACCTAATTCATGAGCCACCCCATACAGGAGTTACACGCTAGCTACCGTTGTCTGCGTGTTCCTACGGCATCTTGGATTTGCCACACGACAACGAAACGACGCCTTTCTTGCAACCAATTCGACCGGCTTAGCACAATTCGCCATGGGTAGCGATTGGAACGGCTTGACGGAGCGGGACGACGCGGTCATCGGTGTGCGCTCGCGACGACTGTACAACTCGAGTATGTGGGATGTCACCGTGTCTATTCGGCCAG